GGCGGGAGGGGGGGCCAGACCGTCGGTCACGCCGTTCCAGGGGGGACGCCCAGGGGGGCGGGAAGGGCGCGGTCGGTCGGCCTCAAGGTCCGACCAACAGTCCAGGGGGGGGGGGGGGGGGCGCCGGTGGGGGGGGGGGGGGGCGCCGGACGGTCCATCGGCGGGGGGAGGCGCCGAATGGTCGGTCGCAGGGTTGGGATACAAGGGGGGCAGTGGCCCGGGCACGCCCAGGACGCCCCCCAGGGACACTCTCCAGGAGAGGCGCCAAGGGGGGCGGGTGGTCGCCGGACGGTCGGTCGCGCAGTCGGAGCAGCGCAGTGTGAGATCACACCGGCGGGTGCGATGATAGCTCCGCCCTGCGGCACCCCCGGGCGCGTCCAGAGGGCTGGCCAGGTGTAACGCCTGAGACGTCCTCACCATTTACGATACTGGCGATGAGGATGAGGATGAGGATGAGGATGAGGATGAGGATGAGGATGAGGATGAGGATGAGGACGAAGGAGGATGAGGATGAGGATGAGAATGAGGATGAGGATGAGGATGAGGATGATGGGGGAGGAGGAGGAGGAGGAGGAGGAGGAAGGAGGAGGAGGAGGAGGAGGAGGGAGGGGAGGAGGGAGGAGGAGGAGGAGGAGGATGAGGAGGAGGAGAGAGAGATGAGGAGGAGGAGGGGGAGGAGGAGGAGGAGGAGGAGGAGGGAGGGGGGAAGGAGGAGGAGGAGGAGAAGGAGAGGGGAGGGAGAGGAAGAGGAGGAGGAGGGAGGAGGAAGAGGAGGAGGAGGAAGAGGAGGAGGAAGAGGAAGAGGAGGAGGAGGAGGAGGAGGAGGAGACTTCTTGATTGAAATGCGCAGCAGCGTCAAGGATGGAGGGGGGGCTTGCAAGAGGGGGCTCTCGCCCTGGCGCCGCGCACATCCGACGCAACAGGTTGCAGCAGCTCGCGGACGGAGCACATGTCTGTCGGATGCCATGACAAGGGGCACTCTAAGAATCCTATCCTTGAACTCAAGATGTGTTTCAAAGGTGCAAAACATGCTCTATACATGTGTCAAACATGTGTTTTTCTTCAGATGCAATCCATGTCTGAAACATCTTGTAGACGTCTGGAAAGCATTTGGCAGCATGCTTCCTCTCCACTACCCGACTTCCACAGCACAAGTCATTTTCGAAAGGAGGTTCGCGCCGTAGCGCCAGGCACACTCGTCGCAAAAGCTGAGGTAGCTCAATGATGAAGGAGGGCGAGTCGACTTCAAAGCGAGGTTCTCGCCCTGGCACCGCGCACATTCGTGTTACATGTTGCAGCAGCTCCAAGGATGGAGGCTGGGTCGGCTTCAGCACTGGGGTCTCGCTGTAGCGCCTCGCAAATTCGCCTTACGAATTTGCAATAGCTTCAAGGATGAAAGGGGGTGGCTTTCAAAGTTTGCCTTAGCGCCGCGCACCTTCGTCGTAGAAGTGTGCAGCAGATTCAAGGATGGAGCACGAGTGGCGTTCAAGATCCGACTCTCGCCTCAGCGCCCGCACACTCGCTTGCAAACAGCTGCAAAAGTTCACGGAGGGAGGGCGAATCGCCTTCAAAATGGGGCTCCCGCCCGAGCGCCGCCAAGCTTGCCATAGCTTCAGATATGGAGGAGGGGCTTCCGAAATGGGACTCTCGTATCAACGCTGCGCGCGTTCGTCTGACAAGTTTGCAGCAGGCTCGAAGATACAGAAGGGCCGGTTCCACATTGGGGCCGTCGCCTCAGCGCAGCGTGCACTCGTCTTGAAAGGTGCCAGCAGCTTCAATGATGGAGGGGAGAGTTTTCAGAATTTGGCTCTCTCCTGTGCGACGCGCACATTCCTAGGACAAACTTGCAACAGCTTGAAGGATGGAGGCTGGGTCCTCCTCAAAATCGGGCTCTCGCCTCAGCGCCGCGAACAATCATCTTAAGAGCTTGCAAAAGCTGCAAGGATGGAGCTTTTCAAGATGAGGTACTCCCTCGAGGCTTGTGAATACGAGTGCCGAAATGTGAGCATGTGTAGCAGCTGCACGGATGTAGGGCGTTTTTGATTGAACATGGGGATATCGCCCGAGATCTCCTGGAAGTTCATGACCCGAAGTGTGAACATGTGTAACAGTGACACACTTGGGGCGGTCCTTTCACAAAAGGAGGATCTCGCTGGACAGATCGTTCCCAATCCCCGACGTCGTGAATTTTTTAATGACATGGACCCCCTGACGGCCTGGACCCATTCCCCGGGACTGGCTTTGCATCCCGAGTCGGTGTTTGACAGTCCCGAGGGCTGGTGAGGGCCCCCAGAGGCCGAAAATATCGAAAAACCTTCCGCCGTGATACTTTCATAATTCGAGGGGGTCTGGGTTGAACCGTATGATCACAAACCTCCGCCTTCCCTACAAGTCGCTAGACCGATACAAGGCAATTCCTTTTCAAGACGAAGCTCTCGCCGGAATGGCAGGCCCATGGGGGCGCTGGTCTTGCAAAAGTGGGCGCGCTCGTTTTGGCGGCGAAGAAGAAAGGCTTGTAGGGACTCGGGAAGCGAGAGGGAGGAAGAGGTACGTAGACCGAGGGATTGCGTCACGTGATGCGGAATGCCCCCCTCCCCACCGAATGCCCCTCCTCTTCCTGCTCCTTATATCCTCCTCCTCCTACTCATCCTCCTCCGATTCGCATCACGTGACGGGTCCAAGTCGCCGAAGAGGAAGAGCGAGCATCCTGGGGCGGGGTGGGGGTGCGGGTGGGGGGGGGCTGAAACGGCAAGTCGCCGGTCGTCTGGCGAAGGACGGGGAGGAGGGGGGGAGGGGGGACGCCCTTGTTGCAATTCCAGATCCCGCACCACCCACACTTAGGTCGGGCGTGCCCTCTTACAGGCGGACTCTGAACGAAAAATGAGACAGACTCGAAAGATGTTCAAAATGGACTCGGAAATACTTCAAAAAAACTTCCCCTGACTATGTTGTCATATTTTTGAATGTTCCTCCTGTAGAGGGACACGCCCGACTTCAACCCACACCTCACCTTCAGGGACGAGGCGACCGCCAGAGGAACACAGGAGAACGGCGGCTCAGGCCGTTCGGCCGCCGCGCCGCGAGGCACGAGCGACAACCTGGGCCAGGCTTGGCGTCGTGAAAAACCGGGCGTGTTTTTCTTTGGTGGAGGGGCGGAGGGCGACGAGGGAGCCAGAGAGGGGAGGAGGAGGACGAGGCCGAGGGGGAGGCAACGAAGGCCCATCGTGAAAACCCAGGCGTGTTTTTTTGGTGGAGGGGCGGAGGGCGACGAGTGAGCCAGGGAGAGGAGGAGGAGGAGGAGGAGGAGGAGGAGGAGGAGGAGGACGAGGCCGAGGGGGAGGCAACGGCGCCACATCGTGAAAACCCAGGCGTTCACCTCTGACGCAGCGCGAGTCGTTCCGCCTGGAAGGATCGGCGCTGCTTCGATCGCAGGAGCGCTCCACACGGTGAGGGCATTGGATCAGGAACCCTTGGATCAGGAGCCCAGTCTCTGGAAGCTGGTGGCCCCGTCTGCGTAAGCGACGACCCAGTTTGAAAAAAAAGGGAGAGGAGGAGGAGAAGGAGGAGGAGGAGGAGGAGGAGGAGGAGGAGGAGGAGGCGGAGGCGGAGGAGGGAGGAGGAGGACGACGAGGAGGAGAAGGAGGAGACGCGCCAACCGAAGCTCGGCCATGGAGATCACCGCCGCCCTCCGCAGACAACGAATCGTCCAGGGTCCGAGACCTCCTGGGCAAATTCCTGCGCCAGAGGAGGAGGAGGAGGAGGCGGAGGAGGAGGAGGAGGCGGAGGAGGAGGAGGAGGCGGAGGAGGAGGAGGAGGAGGAGGAGGAGGAGGAGGAGGAGCGTTGGCCGATTCTGGGCCACTGGCGGCGTTCCACCCCGAAAACGCCTGCGGCGGGGTCGCCGCCGCGGCGACACGGACGCGAGCCCGTCGCAACCTCCAGCAGCTCTGGAGACTGAGGAAGAGGAGGGGAAGAGGAAGGGGAGGAGGAGGGAACGAGGAGGAGCAGCAGGGGCAAGAGGGCCTGGACCTCCAACGCCGTGGCCCTTGTCACAACGCGGACCCCCCGGGCGTCCGGACCCCTTCCCGGGGACGGGCCTTGCAGCCATCCCGAGTCCCTTTGCTCGTCATCGCTCCGACGTCCATTCCCCGTGCGTGTTTCGGCTTCGCGCGTGCTTTCTTCTTCGCCAGATGATCCAAGAGCCTCCCCGACTGTCCTGGCCGAGGAGAAGGAAATAACAAAAAACAAAAACGACAAAAAAACGATTAAACCAAAAAAAAAAAAAACATAGTGATGCCAGGTGTAAAATTTCTGACGGAGCCAGGGCCCGGTGAGGGCCCCCGGAGGCCGAAGATGGCTGAAGACGTCCCGCCGTGCTTTTGTCGACAGCGAGACCAGGGTGGGGGGGAGAAGGAGACGGATGAAGGGCAGCGAAAGCGGGGACTGGCACAGGGGAGGACACGGAGGAGAGGGAGGAGGCTCCCCTGGGATCCGACGTTGCACAACACATTGTAACATCGCGAAACGTCCCGACCAGAGTCCTGGAACCCATCTGTAGGCAAGCGCGTTCCACTGATTACTCGCAAGGTCACTACTCGCAAATGGCCTGGATCCGCCGTGGGGGATTTGCGATGGATTACATCGAGGCGAACGTGGGGCTTTCCCGACGTTTGCGAGGAGGCACTTTGCGAGCAGTGGACGCGCTCGGCGAATCCTTCTGCTCTGCGTCCTTATTCGAACCAGATCGAACTGTGAGGGTCCCGGGGCCCGAGATGGAGCGAAAGCGCCCGCAACGCCAGGATCTGAGGGTCCAGCTTTTTGCGAGGCGGGGATTTATCCATATCCACCGCCTGGGAACCGACGTCCTGGTGCCCCAGCGGGCGGTGGATATGGATATAGTTCGGCCCCCGGGGGCCCGAATATGTCCGTATCCACCGCCTGCCGAGGCTCCGAAAACTGACTCTCCAGGCGGTGGTCATGTATGGATTACCGCCTCGGACTTTTTGGCTGTGCCGCGCACCGCGCGCGAGCGGCGGGTTCAGCCCAGGCTCTCGAGCGGCGGCGGAAGGGCGCCGGGGTGACGGCCGGTGCGCGGCGGCACCGGCGGGGGTGACACGACGGGGGGGAGCAGCGCACCCCGGTCAGCGCTCTCGCGCGGCGTCACCTGCGGGGGGGGAGGGGCGGCACCGAAGAGCCCTGCGTTGCGGCTTCGGGGGGGCGCCTCCTCCTCCTCCTCCTCCTCCTCCTCCTCCTCCTCCTCCTCCTCCTCCTCCTCCTCCTCCTCCTCCTCCTCCTCCTCCTCCTCCTCCTCCTGTCTGTCCCGTCGCGTCCCTGCCTGCGCGTCGAATAATGCGTGCCGAAGCCGTGTCGAGTCCATGGCGCACGCGTCGAATCCGCGTCGAGTCCACGCCGGAGCCGCGTCGAATCCGCGCCAAATCCACGCGGAGTCCGCACATCCGGACCGCGTCGGGCACAAGAGAAGACACCAGTTTGGGGGACAGACGAGGTCCCCCGAGGGTGAGCGCTCTCTTCTTCGGCGTTTCGACACTGGGCGGAAGGCGGGGGGGGGGGGGGGCCGGGTCTGGCTCCGGACCTCTGCTTGATGCGACCGCTCGCCACAGTGCGTCCCATAGGGTTGACTCCACCTGCTCGAAACAGGCGCCAAACACGGCCGACGTCTGCTCCGGGAGGGGGCGGGAGGGGGAGGGGGCCCGCGCCGATCGGCAACCTCCTCCCTCTTCCCTCCTCCCTCCCCCCTCCTCCCTCCCCTCCCTCCCCTCCCTCCTCCCTTCCCTCGTCCCTCCCTCCTCCCTCCTCCACCCTCCCTCCTCCACGAGAGCGGGCCCCCAGGGCAGCGGTCGGGGCCTCTGCAGGGCCGCGGGAGAGGGGAACCAAAAGGGCACGACGATCGCTGCGCCCTGGACCTCTCGCCGGAGGTGCGCTCCGACCAGCGCTTTTCGACGCGAGGCCGGCGGTGGCGACGGGGGCCTCCTCCGAGGAGGCAACAAAAAAGGAGGAGACGGGCGGATGGTACAGTAGGGGCCCGACCACAAGAAACCTTCCACAGAGGAGCCCAATCCTGAGACTCCAGGACGTCCGCTGACTGTTGCTGCGGGAACGTGTCGCGCTCTCTCTCCGTCGCAGCACCGTCGAGGCCCAAGAAACCCAGGGCACCCTGGAGGCAAGCAGGGTGCTTCTCGGCCTGGGCCTCCACTGTAGCGGCACTCCAGATTTCGTAATAAAAGGGAGGGTGTCTGGACCCTCCAAGACAAGCCATTTCAGACCTCCCCCGTGGGAGAACCCTCCAAAACATCGTCCCCAGACCCCCCAGGCCCTCCAAGATAGCCTGGAAGAGAACCCCCCCGAAATGAGACCCCCCTCCCTTTATTACGAAATCTGGAGTATCGTTTTTTTTTCCTCGGCTGAGCGGATGACCAAAAAACAGCGGACCTCAGGGAGCGAGGATTTGGGCTGCTGTGCGTTGCTTCGGCCGCTCGGGGGGCCTCCGCTGCCTCGCGGGGGGCATGCTACGGGCGTGCTGGGTTGTCTTCTGGCGCGGTGGCACCCTGCACGAGGTCTGGGGGCCGTGCTGTTTTCGCCTGTCGGCGAGGAGGAGCAGGAGGAGGAGGAGGAGGAGGAGGAGGAGGAGGAGGAGGAGGCAGGAGGAGAAGGAGGAGGAGGGGTAAGAGAAAAGGAGAGCTCAGCTCTTTTCGTCCGAGGAGCTGCTTCTAGAAGCAGCTGGCAACACGAGCACCTGAGAACAGAGATTCAGAGCGCCGGGTGACGGCCACGGGCCCCCGACACGTGGAGAGAACCGCGAGAGCGACACTCGGGCAGCACCGCCAGCGTGACACTCCAGGAGTCAGGTGCTCAGACTTCTGAGAAGCTCAACCCTACCAACAAAACCTCGCGGTGCTAAGAAAGCACCCGCGGCCGCCGAAGTGTGGCGGAGGCCAAGAAACACCTGTCCGCACAGCACCTGAGCCCCTAGGAAAGACCTCGGGCTGGGAAGCGGCCGGGAGGAGGAGGAGGAGGAGGAGGAGGAGGAGGCGGAGGAGGAGGAGGAGGAGGAGGAGGAGGAGCAGGAGGAGGAGGAGGAGGAGGAGGAGGAGGAGGAGAAGGAGAAGGAGGAGAAAGGGGAGGAAGAGGAGGAAGGGGGAGAAGGAGGAGAAAGGGGAGGAGGAGGCGGAGGAGGAGGCGGAGGAGGAGTAGGAGGAGGAAAAGGAGAGCAGGAGAAGGAGGAGGATTAGAGGGATGGGCGGAGGAGAAGGAGGAGGAGGAGGAGGAGGAGGACCAGTGTGAACCCAAGACGCATCAACAATGTTGCAATACACCCTCCATCGAAGCTCCCTCCTCGTAGGCCACCTGCAAAGGTTCTTCTCCACTGAAGGGCATGGCCCGTTGGAGAACAATCGTCTGAAAACCATGAACTGTGCCAGAGCACCATTCCTGCCGCGATTCACCGTCACTGCTGCGTGTTGACAATCCCGCACGGTGCCAGAGCACAAATTCTGGAATGCCCACACGACAAGTCAACGAAACTGTTGCGCCCTGACAATCCGACACCGTGCCAAAGCACCATGTCTGGGACGTTCACGTGAAGATGGGTGTTAACGTGAAGATGGGTGTGCTCGGCGCCAAAGCGAGAGCCACATTGTGAAGAGGAACCGCCCTTCAACGTGAAACTCTTGAGACTGTTGATGGCGAATGCGCGCGGCGCAACGGCGGGAGCCACATTTTCAAAACGACCCGCCCTACGTCCGTGAGACTCCTGCAGTTCGTTATGACGAATGTGCGCGGAGCTAAAGCGAGAGCCACGTTTTGATACTCCAGCAACGTTTTCAAACGAGTGCGCGCGGCGCTAAGGCGAGAACCGCAATTTGAAAACCACCGATCCCCAATCCGTGAAACGTTGCCAAATAGTAAGAACGGCTGTGCGCGGCGCTAAGACGAGAACCGCACCACATGTTGAAAGCGGCCCGCCCACCATCCGTGAAACGGCTGCAAATTCCAAGCTGCAGGATCATAAGTGGTGAGGAAGTCGCAGGCGAAACGCCCAGCCCGCCCTTCCGACTGGCGTCGGGGTGCGACAGGAAGAAGTTACCCGTAAGGAAGAGGAATGGAGGAGGAGGAGGAGGAGGAGGAGGAGGAGGAGGAGGAGGATAACCAGGCCGACCCGCAGCATCGAGCAACTATGCGGAGGAGGAAGGGGAGGAGGAGGAGGAAAAAGAGGGGGGAAGGATGGGGGTAGCATTGGACTGTGTGCTGTCGCAGCGACGTCTCCACACGCGTAGCACTTCCCTCCCCCCCCCCTTTGCTCCCTGCTCGCCCCTGGAACCCAGAAACAGCGAAAGCCCTCCCGCCCTCCCAGAGTCTTCTTGAGTTTGGGCTGTCTTCCCCCACGACAGCGCGGAGCCAGCCTGATGCCCCTGCGGTTGCCCCGCGAAGCATGCCGCCGAACGAGTGTGAAACAGGAGGGAGAAGCAAAGCAGACGAGGGCGCGGACTGGAAACAGAGACCCAGTCGTCGTGCGTGGGAACACCATGGCCCAGTGATCCATATCTATGTATGTATACAAACATACATAACATATACACAATCACACACACACACACACACCGGCAGCCAGGAGGCTTCGGTGGCAACGCATGGGAGCCTACCATGCCATCTTGCTGGCCCTGGGCGAATCGACGCTGACCAATGCTAATCCATGCCAGTCGACGCTAAACCAGCGCTTCCTTGTTTACCAGACGCCAGCGCCCGCCAATGCACTCCAGAGACGGATCTGCGAGGACACACGACGCTCCCATGAGCTGCTGCCGAGGGAGGCGAGGTGGGCGACCAAGGGGAGCGAGGAAGGAGGAGGAGCGCGAGACCAAAGGGGGAACGGAGACCGTGGAGCCGCGCCACAGGGAAGACCCTCCCTGGAACGGAGCGTCCTCTGGGGCTCAGGCCGGCAGGGCTGGGCACCCCGCCAGGACAGCACGCCCGCGCGGGACGGCCGCAGACGCGGCCCGCGCGCGTGGCCTCCACGCTCCGCGCACCCTCCGCAGTCGCCTTGTGGAGCCAGGAGGAGGAGGAGGAGGGAGGAGGAGGAGGAGGGGGAGGAGGAGGATGGGGAGGAGGAGAGAGGGAGGAGGAGGAGGAGGAGGAGGAGAGAGGGAGGCGGAGGAGGAGGAGGGGAGGATGGGGGAGGAGGAGGAGTAGGAGGAGGGAGGGAGGAGGAGGGGGAGGAGGAGGAGGGGAGGAGAGGAGGAGGAGGAGGGGGAGGAAGGATTGGGGAGGAGGAGTGTAGAGGAGGAGGAAGGAGGAGAGGAATGAGGAGGAGGAGGAGGAGGAGCCCAAGCACACCAGGGGCCACCCGAGTGACGAAAACAGCAGCGGGTCCGATGCGGGGCGGCACGGCGACCTGCCGCCGCAGGCTTCGGCGGGGCCGCCCGCGCGGCAAGACGCCTTGGAAGCGAGGGCGCTCCTGCGCTGCCTCGCGCGGGAAGCTTGCGCGCGCGTGTCGGCGCGACCGCCCCCGCTTCCTTCCGACGCTCCTCCGGCCTCCTCCTCCTCCTCCTTCCTCCTCCTCCTCCATCCTCCTCCTCCTCCTCCTCCTCCTCCCCTTCCTCCTCCTCCTCCTTCCTCCTCCTCCTCCTCCCCCTCCCCCCCCTCCTCCCCCTCCTCCTCTGGCAGTGCAGTGCTTGGTGCGCCCGGCTTGTGAAAGCAGGGCCTGCACGAGGGCCCAGGGAGCGCGGGCCCACCTCTCCAGGGCACGCAGCCCCAGCACAGAGGTCCGAGCTCCTCGTCCAGCGCACGGAGCCTACACCCCGGACCGCCTCGGGCAGTGAGAACAAAAATCCGAAGGGAGACGTTGCTCTGCTTTCGGCCTCTCGGGGCCCTCACGGGGCCTCGGGACCGTCAGAAAAAGACCCAGGATGAAAAACGGGTCCCGAGGAATGGGTCGAGACCTCTGGGGGTCGACGTTATGAAGCATAGCATGACGTCGGGGGTCTGGGACTATGGAGCCCACAAAGGACGTACGCGCCCAACCACGTACATGAATTCGGCCGCCCAGTCCGCGAGATCAGCCTCGTGATGCGAAGGTTCGCGCAATGCGTACTTTCGAAACCGACGTGGATTCATGTACGTGTACATCCCTCTTTGGCTCCTGATGCACCTCCGCCGCATCAATACGCAAATCAATGCAACATACTTTCCCGAGCTGCCAGCCAGCATGACCACACGGCCCGCGAGATCAACGCGTAAGTCAATGCAGAATTCTTTTCCCAAGGTGCCAGTATGACCGACACGGCCCAGAACGCGGAGACGACTTAGTCACAGCGAGGAGGGTGGACGAGAGGGGGAGAGGAGAAGGAGGAGGAGGAGGAGGAAGAAGAAGAGCGCAGGGATGGGCAATGCCCGCGGTGCCGCTTCTGGTATTTCTGTTTGGGGGCGTTCGCATGTGGAGGGCGCCAGCGTCCTCGGCCACAAGAGGTCGCCAGGCGCTGGAAATACACTCGAGTCCATACGAATGCTCGTCTTCCGCACCTGGACCTCCCACGGCTCTATACAACATGTTCGAGTCGGCGGCCCCCTCAAGCTTTAGACTACTTCCACGGGACAAGCTTCTCTTCCTGATCTGTTCTCTGAAGGGCTCAGGGCAGGAAAACGGCCCTCAGAGGCCGAAGATTGCAAATGAATCTGGCGCGACTCCACTTAGGCGGGCTCTTTCTGCTAAAGGCATACGTGTTGTGCAATGCAGCCCAGCAAAGAAACGCGCAAGGGGGTACCATGCGACGCGGAGCATAATATGGGATCGCAATGCGCAACAAAGCACACATGATTAAACAGCACAGTGCAGCATGGTATAGCAAGCATGGCATTGCGTACCATTGCACAGCATAGCATAGCAAAGCATCGAGTAGCATTGCATGGCTTATCATGAACTGGCAAACTAAAGAAACGCTATCGAATATCCAAGCGGTACCCCCTCATGGCAGTGTAAAGCATAGCAAAGCGCCGCATAGTGTATCACAGCATAATAAAGTACAAACGATATCTGCGCATGGAACCGGCGCCAACGTCGCGTGGAATTGGCCTGCCTGGTGCAGCCAGACAGGGCTCCTCTCCACCAGAAACAATTGAGAGAGAGAGAACCCCTTTACGCAGGAAACATTGAAACAAGGCAGAAAGGCAGAAACCCTGGCGCGATCTGCTTCAGTCGCAGAAGAATGTCTGAGCATCCAGCTTCCCAGTAGCCTGGCAGGAGCTGCCGCGAAGTCGGCCCTTTATCGACAAAGACCCTTCGGTGTCTTTCAAACAACCAAAACTGCATAAACATAAACTGTCGGAAGTCCGCGGGAAATTCTTGGATCGGCGCTGGAACTCCCTCCCTGGCGCCTGGAGCGCGCCACGGGCGGCGCCAGAGGCGCCGCCAAGGGAGTCCAACCCTGAGAAAACCAATAGACACATAATGATATCGCTACTCCCAAGACCTCTCCCGGGGTGCGCTCTGACCACAATTCCGAAGCGAATCCAGCGATGGCGAGGAGGGCCTCCAAGGAGGCCCAAAAGTGAGAGAAAGAGGCAAAGGAAGCGGTATCTGTATATTTTCCCCCTCCGGTACCCAGGAAATCGGCGCGGACCTGCGACAGTTAATGACTATGCACTTTTTCTGTTTCGGGCCGTCGGCCCCGAGGCCGGGCGCGTTGCGGAGAACCCTCGGTCACCAGAGTCAGCGGAGGCAGCGGCGGGTTGGCGGTCTGTAGCGGGTAAGTAGTGGAGACGCCGGGGTTCGCGGGCAAATAGTGGACCACCTCGGCATGGCGCGGGGCTCGGGGGCCCCTCCTCCTCCTCCGCCTCCTCCTCGTCCTCTTCCTCCTCCTCCTCCTCCTTCTCCTCCTCCTCCTCCTCCTCCTCCTCCTTCTCCTCCTCCTCCTCCTCCTCCTCCTCCTCCTCCTCCTCCTCCGCCTCCTCCTCCTCCTTTTCCTCCGCCTCTGCTCCTCCTCCTCCTCCTCCTCCTCTCCTCCTCCTCCTCCTCCTCCCTTCCTCCTCCTCCTCCTCCTCTCCCCTCCTCCTCCTCCTCCTCCTCCTCCTCCTCCTCCTCCCCCTCCTCCTCCTCCTCCTCCTCTCCTCCTCCTCCTCCTCTCCTCCTCCTCCTACGCCTCCTGTTCTTCCTCGTCCTCTTCCTCCTGCTCCTCCTTCTCTCCTTCTCCTCCAACTCCTCCTCGTCTTCCTCCTCCTCCTCCTCTCCCTCCTCCTCTTCCTCTTCCTTTTCCTCCTCCTCCTCCTCCTCCTCCTGCTCCTCCTCTGCCTCCTCCTCCTCCTCTCCTCCTCTCCTCCGCATCCTCCTCCTCCTCCTCCTCATCCTCCTCCTCCTCACCCTCCTCCTCCTCCTCCTCCTCCTCCTCCTCCTCTCCTCCCTCTTCCTCCTCCTCTCTCTTTCCTCTTCCTCCTCCCCTCCTCCTCCTCCTCCCTCCTCCTCCTCCTCCTCTCCTCCTCTCCTGCTTCCTCCTCCTCCTGTTCCTTCCTCCTCCTCCTCCTCCTCTCCTCCTCCTTCCCTCCTCCTCCTCCTCCTCCTCCTCCTCCTTCCTCCTCCTCCTCCTCCTCCTCCTCTCCCCCTTCTCCTCCCCTCCTCCTCCTCCTCCCTCCTCCTCCTCTCCTCCTCCTCCTCCTCCTCCTCCTCCATCCTCCTCCTCATCCTCATCCTCCTTCTCCTCCTCCTCCCTCCTCTCTCCTCTTCCTCCTCGTCCCCCTCCTCCTCCTCCTCCTCCTCCTCCTCCTCCTCCTCCTCCTCCTCCTCTTCTTCTTCCTCCTCATCCTCCTCCTCCTCATCCTCATCCTCCTTCTCCTCCTCCTCATCCTACAAACCAGCCCTGGACAGCGTCCCACCCCCCCGCCTGGGTCGCAGCGCGTCCAGTGGGAGCCGCCCTGCCCGCTGGACGGTTGTTCAATCCGCGGGCGTTAAGATGTGCAAGACGGCCAGGTGTCGGTCGAAGCGAACGATGGGCTGCACCGAAAGCGAACGAAGGCACGAAAACGAAGGAAACAAAAAAATCGAAAAGAGGAAAGCGGGGCCCGATCAGACCGTGCAAGCCGGCGCGGGAGTGCCGAGGAGGGACATGCAGATGCGTCCGAGCAGTGGACCACCAGCGGGAGGTGGTAGACGCTGAAAGAGCCGAGGAACGCCAGGATGTCCAGATAGCGAATCAAAGCCATAGTTCTAAAGAACCGAACTTGACTTGGAAGCCCTTGGTCCCAGATGGCGGAAGCCCGGGTACACAATGAAGAGGGGCATGAACCAGGCAAAGCGTGGGCTACGACGAACCGGAGTTGCATGAGAAACCTTGACATGGCCAAGTAAAGAACCGGGTACAACGACGAGCAGGGGGGCGTGGTTAGACGCATTCCAAGTGGACACCCACGCAGGGAGGCCGTGTGGAGGATGACCTTGAGCGTGAACCGAGAAGCAGCCCAAACACAAAACGGACAAGTAATCAAAGGCCCAGAGGCCGTCGAAGAAACAAGGCGACTGCAAGCTGGGGTCGCGAGGCACCGGCTCCTGCAAGCATCCCTTGCCGAACAGAGGAGGAAAAGGAAGAAGAGGAAGGAAGGGCGGAAAGAGAAACTCGCGGCGAAAAGAGAAGCAAGCAAACGCGCGAAAAGCCCATTCAACCGGTGACGATAGGGCAGCAGGGTGAAAGGGTGAATGCAAACATCTGGGCAAAGCGCAGCCCGAGCGTGTTGGGAGCAGAACGCGAGGAGGACTGAAGCCTGGGGGCCCTGGCGCGGCCTCCGGGAGCGCGGAGGGACGCCTGGGTAAAACGCGAGGGGCCTGCCTCACCGCTCGCCATGACGGCCCCTCCCGTTGCGCCCCCACTGTAGAGGGCAGAAAATCCACCCCGAGGACAACCACCCCGACACGCGAAGTCGTTTAGTAAAAGCACAAAGCACCCAAAGAAGGAATCAAACAGGGCATGGCTGTTCAAACCCAGGGCCGCTTAGTAGACGCCAATTGTCCGGTCTGGGTGGTTTTCCTCCCTTGACACTGGTCGCGTCGCGCTGGGGCAGAGGTGGGGCTGCCCCAACCCGAAGACTCACCGAGGCCCTTGGCACTGGCGCTCTCGTCGTGCGTGGCTCTGTTCTCCGAGACTATCTGGGCCTTCTTAGGCGGCGCGCACAAGGGGGTGGAGGGAGGGGGGAGCTTCTTAGAAGGAGGCTGCTTCTTAGAAGGCGCCGGCCTTACACGCATAGATAAGGCCCGCGCCTTCTAAAAAGCAAAGGTGCAGAAGCCCCCCCCCCCCCTCCCCCCACCCCCCTCTGCGCGTGGCTGACTTCTCCCAGTCAATCTGGTGACCGCGTTCGCGGGCCCATTTGATGACGTCGTTGCCGGCCGCGGGCAGTTCCCCAAGAAGCGCCGCGGCGTCGCGCAGGGGGAATCTCCCAGTCGCACCATCCCTTCCACGGGCCCTGGGGCTGCCATTGACCCCACCAGCCCGTTGGCGGCTCCTCGGCAAGGTCCTGCTGGGGCTCCACGGCCTCTCGGGTGGCAGGGCCGGGGCATGGCGGGGCACCCTGCGGGGCGCCGCTCGCGGCCTCTGTCTGCGTGCTCCTCGACCTGCGGGGCGCCCGGAACATCTCTGCACAGCGACGGGCGGGCACCATGCCATGCTTTTGTTTCCCACTGGCCACACAGCCAGGCACTGCGCGTCCGACCGCAGAGTTCGTAGGCTCCCTCGGGAGCCCACTCGCTCAGTCCCCGACGTACTCGATGTCCACGAGGTTCACCGCCCAGTCCTGGAACTTGCCCCGCGGGCTCGAGCGGGCCATAGGCGAACTCGCAAGGGGCGCGGCGCCTTGGCCCCCAGCTGCGCCGTGGAGCGGCGGCGGGGCACCCGTCGCACTGGAACACGATGGCGCCCCCGCTTCCAGAACTGATCCCGAGGCGCCCGTCCTGCTAGGCGGCAGGGGGCAGCGCGGCGCAGACTGCGGCCGGGTCGCTAGGTCCGTCCTGGGGAAGCACCACTTGACCCAGAGGGGCGTCGCTCCTGGGTTTCTGCAGTTCCCCTTCCGGGATGACCCTAGGCAGTTGAGCTCTTGGGTCACCAGCGGCGCCCTTCAGCTAGGCGGCAACGCCCCATCCCTCGGGGACGGGCGCCCCGGAGCAGTTCGCGTCGGACCGCGGGGATCTGCTGCAGAGCCAGGTGGGTGTCTACGCCAAGCAGGCACTCGGTTTGACGGTTCTGCGCCACCGTTCTCCGGGCCCTGGCGTGGGCTCCACCCTGGTGCCCGCACGGGCTCCTGAGGCATCCGTTGCAATGAAATGCTGCGAAGTTCTGTCCAGGCCCGTAGTCAATCCAAGCCAGGGTCGCACCAACGCCAGGCGGGGGGCCAGTGGTGGTGGCGCCAGGACGCCAGGAGGTCCTTGGCAGCGAGTGGTCTACCTCCACCCGCGTAGGACACGGGGCAGTTTCCCGCCCGCACTGGGCCCCGCCCGCACGTCGCGGGAAAGGGCGCACACCGCGCAGCTCGCATTGGCTAGCGTTGAGAGGCCTGCTGAGGGGACGAGCACGTCGAGCGCCGTCAGGGTGGCGCGTAAGGGAAACAGGGCCTCCGCACCGAGGGTCCAGATGGCGGGGCGCCCCTGCTCGATTGCCACCGGGCGGAAGTGGGCCGTGGCGGCCAGAGTGGACGCGGCGCGGCTATGCTCCTCCAGCGCCGCGCGCGGGTCACGGAAGCGTTCCCCTGCGAGGCCGTATGCGACCCCGATGTCATCCCTTGCCGATTTGTCCACGGCGCGGCGAGGCGTGCAGAAATCGAGCACGGCCCCGAGGACGTCGCCAAGGGCCTCGGGCTCGGCGCACGGGGAAAGGCAGGGCCGCCGCACTCTCTCTGGGCAAGAAGGCCCCGAGTCAGGAGGGTACGTCGGCTGAGGAAATCTAGCGGCGCACCCATCGCATCCTTGAGCAGGTGCAACGACCTTTGCATCGTCTGTGAAGCCGGGCATCCCCAAGAAGGCCCTGACAGAGTCTGGGCTGGGGGCGCCGCGGCGGCGACTCGCACGCGGCGTGCGACCAGGCGGCGGGGCAGAAGCGCTGGGCCTCTGCCGAGGCGCACTGGTCCGCGTTCCTCCACGCTTTGGCGAAGGAACGACGTTCAATCTGAGTGGGCATCAGGGCCACGTCTACTTTCAGCTCGCTGGAGAAAGTGGCCCCCAACCCGGCTGCTCTTAGGAGCACCGACGTGGTGGCGATGTAGGCCAGGCCCCCTGCGCCACGCCATCAAAAAAAACTGAGTAGGTAGCCGTTCATGCTGCACCCTTTCCGGTCCCGCATCGCTGGGTCCCGGGGCTTGTCGGCGGCGCCGAACTCGTGCGGGCGCAGCCCGAGGACGTGCAGCAGGACTGGGGCAAGCGCGGCGCACGCAAGCACCCTGGCCATGCAAGTTTGTAGGTCACCTGGGCCCGGGAAGCCGCGAGTGGGTCCGTTGTGCCGGGTCGGTGACTGGGCGGAATAGTTTTGACCCTCGAATAGGGAAGCCTGCCTTTGGGTGGGCCCGTCCGCTGCTTTGTGGCTGCCTATCCGAGAGCTTCTCCCGAGCTGGTCCCAGGTCAAGGGAAAGCCTTCCAACAGGGGGGCCAGAGCAAGCTTGTAGCTCAGCAGCCGTTCGGACGCGTGACTGTGGAGCTGGTCTTGAGACAGTGGGCCTCCACGGCCTTGACCATGTGCACGACCTGCTCCGCTTGTGGAAGTTGGCGTAACCTTCAACGTGAGGGGATGTGACCTCGTGGCCGTCAGCGTGAACCAAGCGGAGCCGATGCACGTCTCCGCGTTGGAGACCCGCTGCCGGGGAGAGGATGCCGACCGGGTTGGCAGGTTCACTGTCTCGACCTGGTGTCCTGGGTGTTCACGCCTTGTCGGGAGGCGTAGGCGCCATTGGAGCCCAGGGGAGGCCATGCATGGACGAGAGGCCTCGCGGCCATGGCGCAGATTACCCCGCCCGCGTAGAAGGTTGCAGACGGCCGCAAGAGGCTGGACGGGCGCATCCAGTAGGACTGGTGGGGTCGTACGTCCTGCCCATGGACGCGTGCAGATGTCACAGCAGTGAGGTTTTGAGACCCCACGCTGCTGCCTCCAGGGACTTGACCATCGGGGGGAGCTGCCTCTCGGCCATGGCGAGCGGGTTGGGCGCCATGCGCAGCGAGGCCTGGCCGGCTTCGCCTGGCAAAAAGAGAGACATCCGGCTCTGCCCCGGGTCTGCACTGGCTTCGTGGGCAGCTCGCATCACCCGGGAGTCGGAGAGGCGCTCCTCCCGGAATGTCACGAACCAGTGCCTGTGGTCATTGGCCCCGTCTTGACAGGGGTTCTGGCCGTGGGCGTCCCGGTACACGTCGTTCGTTTCTCATCGTGCTCATTTCCAAGTGTGCTCGCTTCTAATTGTTTCTGGCCCCTTAGTGGCCAGGAAGAGGCCCAGGATAGAACAATTAGAGATGAAAGGACCTTGTCCCAAAAAAATCAAAGAACCTTCGAATAATTTTATTTGACCCATGTGTCGTTCTTCACCGGGGTGAGGCCGTAGGCCGTGCCTCCCTGGGTGGCGAGGCCTCCGCGCGCGAGCCGTATAGGCACTCGGCCGCGAGATCCTGGAGGAAGTCGGACCCCTGCCCAGGTGCTCCGCCAGGCTGCCCGCGGAACCTCTTGTCCGCCCCAAATGGCCCGCCGGGCACTGGCGCGCCCGAGAAGCCCTGAGGGCCGACGTTGCGACAAAGGTGTTTCAATGTCGAGCTACAAACCGAGCCAGAACCCGAAAGTGCTACAAGTTCGGGCTTTAATTTCGATTTGATAAACCCCAACAGTGCGAAAAATGCCTGAACCCTGACCCAACCTTTCTGCTGCAGCTTTCGAGCCAGATCGATCTGTGATGGTCCCCGGGCCCGACACAAAGCAAAATCGCGCGTTCGGAAACATTTTTGCGTCGGCGGCTAGGCAAAGGATGACTGCGCTGGCGATGGGGGCTTAAACGGGGATGCTGTTAGAGCGAATTGCGCCACCATGCAAGAGGAGGACGAGGAGAGGACGCGGTCGAAGGAAAATAGGAACCCGTTCGGAAACATGCGACGCCAGGACCTACCTCAGGGAAGCGGCAGCCATGGGCCAGAGAGAGTAGGAGGAGGAGGAGGAGGAGGAGGAGGAGGAGGAGGAGGAAAAGGAGGAGGGGGGGGAGACAGCCGAGGAGGAGGAGGAGGAGGGCGATGAGGAGGAGGACAGCGAGGAGGAGGAGGAGGAGGAGGAGGAGGACCAGGAAGAGGAGGAGGGCGAGGAGGAGGAGGAGGAGGAACAGGGGGAGGTCCTGGTCTCAGGGGCCCTGAAGGCGCTGCGCACGGGCACCAGTCCCCAGAGGGAAGCCGCGGCCGGCCAACGACAGGCCCCGGGGGCATCCCCAAGGCGGCCTCAGCACTCAGCGCCGGGCGCGGGCTCCGAGCCCCTAGCGCCCTCAGATCCTGGCTTTGCAACTTTTGCTCACCACCCGCGTTGTCGCCCGGCGTTCGGCCCCCAGGGCTCACACACACACACACACACACACACGCACACACACACACACACACACACACACGCACACACACACGCACATCGACCTGGCCGAAGACACGGCGCAGAAAGATGGGTCCGGGGCTCTGGTCGCCATTGCTCACAGAACGTCGCATGTCTTCGCAACCTCGGATCTCAGAAGGGCGACTCCGCGCCCCCTGGGCTGGGGACGCGGAGACCACCCTGGGCTTCCCTGTGCCCAGACCTCCGATGGACGTTTTTCCCAACCTTCCTGCGATGGGCTTTCGTTCTGAATAGGGCACTGCGGTCGAACATTCCTCCTTTCCCCGCCTCCCTCCCCCTCTCTTCACCCCCCCTCCTACCTACCCTGCCTCCTACCTGCCTCCTGCCATTCCTCCTGATTGCCTGTCACCCTGCCTCCTCGCCATCCCAGGGGAGTTGCGATCTGAGAAACTATCCGGTCGGGAACGCCATACGCAGAGTCTGATTTTTGACCTCGCCATCCTTGGGGGCCTGCACTGTCGCACTTTTGAAAGCTGCCGGGGATTCCAGCGGACTGACGCCCCACGCAGATTCAGATTCGACCTCGCCATCCCTGGGAGCTGCGAGCTGCGAACTGTCGCCACTTTTGAACGCCGCTGGGGGGCCCAATGGGGTGGCACCCCACGCAGACTCGTATTCGACCTCGCCATCCTTGGGGGGCGGCGATCTGCGAAACGATCGGTCCTTTTCGAAGGCTGCTGGGGGCCCGGCGACATGACGCCATTCGCAGATTCTATAGAAACCTCTCCGTGGGCTGCGATATGCGAAACTGTCGCCACGCGTGAAGGCTGCTGGGAGGTCCAGCGGGGTGACGCTCCACGCAGATTCATACTCGACCTCGCCATCCCTGGGGGACTGCGATCTGCCACAGCGTCGCCACTTGTGAGGGCCGCGGGGGTTCCCAGCGGAATGACGTCCCACGCAAATTCTAACTACACACCCCTGGGGGGCGGCGATCTGCGAAAATGTCGCCACGTTTGGAGGGTGCTGGGGGGTCAGGCGGAGAACGCCTCACGAAGATTCATGTTCGACCTCGCCAATTTGGGGGGGCTGCGACCCGCGCAAGTCTCACCCTTTTTGAAAGCTGCTGGGTGGTCCAGCGGAGTGACGCCCCACGCAGATTCATACTCGACCTCGCTATCCCCGAGACATGTGATATGCGAAACTGTCGCCACTTGTCAAGGCTGCTGGGGGTCCAGCGGAGTGACGCCCCACGCGGACTCGTACTCGACCTCGCCATCCCCGGCACCTGCGATATGCGAACCTGGCGCCACTTTTGGAGGCTGCTGGGTGGCCCCTGCGGACTGACACCCCACGCAGATTCATATTCGACCTCGCCATCCCTGGGGAGCTGCGATCTGCGAACTGTCGCCACTTTTGAAGGCTGCTGGGGAGGGGGTCCACTGGAGTGGCGCCCCACGCAGATTCGCACTCGACCTCGCCATCCCTGGGGGGGTGCGACCTGCGAAACCGCTTCCAGTTTTGAGGGCTGCTGGGGGGTCCAGCATAGCGACGTCCTACGCGGACTTGGATTAGCCTTGGTGTCCTTTCCCGTGGGCCGCCTGGAGAACTGGCGGCGTTCGTGCAAGCTTTCAACTCCCGCGCTGCACGGTGCAGAAAGAAGCGGAGGACCTTACGGGCGAGCTTGGCCTCATTCGTTACTTCCACTAGCTTTGAACAGCTGATCCTCTGAAGCGCCAAAACGATATGGCACGGGCCGCGCTACTTGTCCAGCGTGCCACTGGAAATGATCGCCACCCTCCTTCCTCATCCTAACTCGTTCGTTGTCGTCCTCTTCCTCCTTCCACTGTCTCTCTGCTGTTGTCGCGTTAACTGTGTGGCCCTTCCACCCTTTTTCATGCCTTTCGTTCCCACCCCGACTTCCTCTTCGGGCCTGGGGCCTCAGTCATCGTCCTTTTGTTGCTGTCATGTGAATCGTGCAACGCGCGCGCGAGCGCGCGCTTCCCGTATAGCTTGCGCAACCAATGACAGACCCTGGGCCGTCATCGGCCGCACTGTTCTGGATCAACTACTCTTGCCACTTAATGCAGACGGGTTGGGTACGTCGTAAGGTAATTCCGTCGGATCCGCAGGAGCTAGAAGGCCTCGACCACTTCCCTGCGGGCAGCTCCTTTTCCTGGGCCTATGTCAGATGGCCCCGGGGCCCGACAACGCCCCCCTCGGAAGAACAAAAACCTCATAAGCCTCAGCCTGCGGGCCTGTTTCTGGCAGCTGGGGCTGCCTCCGTGGGCTGACATGCGCGCAGCTCTCAGCCCCGGCGGCCCACCTTCCAGGCCTGCAGCTTGGACAGCCCGAGCTCGTGCTGCAGGTCCTCCTGGGGAGAGCAGAGCGCCCAGCCACGAAGACGCCGAGCCAAAGCCGCCAAAGCATGCGAGCCCGACCTGGTCTACCTGCCCCCTCCCTCTCCTCGATCCCCAGGCGGCTGGCGGCTCGATACGTTCGAGGCACGGCCTGCTGATCGCTCGACCCCTTCCTTGGGGCGGCTTGTCATGCCGAGTCGTTTCTCTGTCGGCCCCGGGGTCCAGAGTTGGCCCCCGGAGGTCCAAAGTGCAAACAACAACAACAACAACAACAACAACAACAATCACTTTACCCGAACGCGTGGTGTTCTCCCCAGTGCCAGGGTTTTCATACGACACCAGGCAATACCCCCACTTCGTGGGGGGGCATTACAAGCTCTACCAAATATCCAAACGACTCTTCGCGACCACCCAAACCCAGCTTCCCGCCCTATGACGTTGGGACACTTCACTTCGTGGCGTGCGGACGACCGTGGCTACTACACTGGCGTGGGGTACACACCCACAGAACCCAATGGTTTTTGGAGATTTCGGCGTGCGCGCGCGAAGAAAAAACGAATGTGTCCCGCATGGTATTATTTGACAGGGATGATGGCCCTGGCAGGTGCGCAACCGTTGTCGCAGAAGTTCGAAAAAGTTGCTCGCAAAAGCCCGTTTGACAGAAATGTTTAAAAAGTGTTGGGTTTCCTACGAATCCGCAAGAGCGCGCGGGATGAGATTTTGACATTTTTTTGTTGAAAAACCATTGGTTTTTTGATGTTTTTATGTTAAAATCGCTCCGAACACTAAGCTTTTGGAAGGATTTCGTCTTGCGCGCGCGAATGTCCACTTTACCTTATTTTTTACAAGGGATTCTTGAAATTTGATAATATTTGAACAAGAAATTTCATTTTATAGTGTTTTTTGCAAGGGAAAGCGGGGGGGAACAAAACAACCGGATCTTGATCACCTCGAATTACCTGAGGCTTCCTCACGAAAATGATGAAAACGTGGCTGCGGCCTAGGCGCGGCGGGGGGGGCGCGCACCAGGGGGCCCAACAATAATTATTCTTTAGAATTAATAATGTTCAACAACAACAACAACAACAACAACAACAACAACCACAACCACAACCACAACCACAACCACAACCACCACAACCACAACCACAACCACAACCACAACCACAACCACAACGACGATGAAACCGACAGCGACAGCAACAACAACGACAAACAAACAACCAAACCAAACAAATACAAGCACACACAACAACAACAACAACAACAACAACAACAACAACAACAACAACAACAACAACAATTACTAGCACGTGGGGACACTCCGTTCTCACCAGTGCCAGGGTTTTCATAGGAGGCGGGCAATACCCCCACTTTGTGGGGGGGCCGGTTCAAGCTCTACCAAATTTCCAAACGACTCTTCGCCACCACCCACACCCAGCTTCCCGCCCTATGACGTTCGGACACTTCACTTCGTGGCATGCGGACGACCGTGGCTACTATTCAGGGCCCCGCGGCCGACGACGACGGCGTGCGCGCGCGAAGAAAAAACGAATGTGTCCCGCATGGTATTATTTGACAGGGATGATGGCCCTGGCAGGTGCGCAACCGTTGTTGCAGAAGTTCGAAAAAGTTGCTCGCAAAAGCCCGTTTGACAGAAATGTTTAAAAAGTGTTGGGTTTCCTACGAATCCGCAAGAGCGCGCGGGATGAGATTTTGACATTTTTTTGTTGAAAAACCATTGGTTTTTTGATGTTTTTATGTTAAAATCGCTCCGAACACTAAGGTTTTGGAAGGATTTCGTCTTGCGCGCGCGAATGTCCACTTTACCTTATTTTTTGCAAGGGATTCTTGAAATTTGATTATATTAGAACAAGAAATGTCATTTTATAGTGTTTTTTGCAAGGGAAAACGGATTACAACAAAACAACCGGATCTTGATGACATCGTATTACCTGAGGCTTCCTCACGAAAATGATGAAAATGTAGCTGCGGCCTAGGCGGCGCAGGGGGGCCGTGCACCAGGGGTCCCAACAATAATTATTCTTTAGAATGAAATAATGTTCAACAACAATAACAACAACAACAACAACGACAACAACAACAACCACAACCACAACCACAACCACAACCACAACCACAACCACAACCACAACCACAACCACAACCACACCAACAACAGCAACAACAACAACAGCAATAACAACATCAACGATGACGACGGCGACGACAACAACAACAACCAACAACAACAAATTATACCACATGCAACAACAGCCATTACTACAACAACAACAATCACATCAACAACAACGACAACAACAACAACCACAACCACAATAAAAGCCACAGCAACAACAACGAAATCAACAACATCACAAGCAACAACCACAACAACAACAAACACAACGTCAACAACAACAACCACAACCACAGCAACAACAACAACAACAACAACAGAACTACCACACCCATGTTTTCGAGCCGTCAGATGTCTGGGCCCAGGGGCCGGAGCACGGCCCGACCCCGGCTCCGACGCGGACCCAGCCGCGGCGGCGAGAGGCCTCCTGGAGGCCAACCAAGCCAGCAGCACGAGAGGACACAGACAGCTCAGTCCTCGACCCTCGACCCTCGATCTCAATCCTCGACCCTCGACCCTCGTCCTCAATGCTCGATCCTCGGTGCTCGATGCTCGATCCCCGACAGCTCGTCCCTCCTCAAGCCTCGATCCTCGTCCTCCTCCCTGCCGGACCCGAAGCGGAGCGGTCGGGGCGTTTCGCCCGAGACTTCCTGGCCATCTGCGGCCAGGGCGCCTGCAGGTTCTCTGGACGGCGGGCGCGCCGCTGTCGCGAGGCGGTTATCGTCTCCCCCGCCTCCTGCAGGGGGCAGAGCCGGAGGGCGGGCCGGTGCCGAAGCCCTGCTCTCGCCCTGACCTCGCGCACACCCGCCTTGAGGTGCTGAGCCATGTGCAAGGATGGAGTCCGGCTTGGCCGCAGCATGTTCATTTCGCTTCGGCGCCGTGCACAGTCGCCCGTCCCAACCTGCAGCGGCTACACGGATGGAAAGCGGCTCCTTTGCAAAAGGGAGCTCCCATCTCACGTCTTCGGAAGAGGCTTCGGAAGCTGAGCGACAGCTAGCAAAGGAAGGAGGTCGGATCGATTTCGGCATCGTGCCTTTTGCTTCAGAATTTCCTCACAGAGAGCACCCACAAGCGTGAAAAAATATGCAGCGGCTCCGCGGGAGGAGGGCGGATCCTTCGCAAAATAGGCCTATCGCTGGGCACCTCCTTGAGCCTTCTGATGACTGGTACTACGTGCTTGCACTTCGCGTAGCAACCTAGGAAGGATGCAAGGCAAATCCATGTTACACGGGGAGCTCGCCTGAATGGCGGGCCCATGCAGCGTTCGTCTTTCGCGGAGGCGCTTCCAATTGTGAGAGTGGCTGGCTGTAGGGACTTCGTGGGGGACTTGGCACGCGAGGGCGCGTCGCAGCATCCTTAACGCATCCTGGAACTACTCTTGTCCTTCTCCTCCTCCTCCTCCTCCTCCTCCTCCTCCTCCTCCTCCTTCTCCTCCTCCTCCTCCTCCTCCTCCTCCTCCTCCTCCTGCTCCCCCTCTTCATGCTTCCTCCTTCTCCTCTTCCTCCTCCTTACGGGGCGCGAAAACGACCACAGCCACTGCTTTTGTTTTGTTGCCGCCTTCCAGCCAGCAGAAACAAAGCAGTGGCTTTGGTCATTTTCGGTAAGCTTGGCACCAGGGAAATGACCACAACCACTGCTTCTTTTCGGCTGGCTGCAAGGCGGCGCAAACAAGAAGCAATGGCTGTGGTCATTTTCCCGTCCCGCACTCCTCCTCCACCTCCCCCTCCTCCTCCGCCGCCTCATTCTCCGTCATGGACGACTGGGGGGTAGGAGGGAGGAGGGGGGAAAGAACAACAGGGAAGCGGGGGTTGAGGAGGAGACGCTCCCGGTCGGCCGGGCCGCGACTCCTGCGTGAGCTGCAGCAACATGTGGCCGTTCACCGCGTCGCCGCGGAACCTCCTCTCGAGGGACCCGAGCTCCAGGTCCCTGAGGAACCCGACGACCTCAGGAGGAGGAGAGCGAGGACAAGGAGGGAGGGGGGGGGAATGAGGTTGGAGGACGAGGGGGGAGGAGAAAGGAGGGAGGAGCCAGGAAAGAGGAGGGAAGGAGAAAGGAGGAGGAGGAGGAGGAGGAGGAGGAGGAGGAGGAGGAGGGAGGAGAGGGGGGAGGAGGAACCCCAAGAGCGCGGGAGGGGGACAAGGAGGAACAGGAGAAGGAGGGTATAGCGAGGAAGGGGGTGCGGTGAAAGGAGGGGGCAGCTCCAGGTCCCAGAGAAACCCAACGACCTCGGGAGGAGGTGGACGAGGAGGAGTGGGAGAAGGAAGGACGACGAAGGACGCAGGATGATAACGAAGAAGGGCGAGGAAGGAGGAGAAGGAAGAGGACGGAATAGGGGAGGAGGAGGAGGAGGAGGAGGAGGAGGAGTGGGAGGAGGAGGAGGAAGAGGAGGAGGAGGAGGAGGAGGAGGAGGAGGAGGAGGAGAAGGCCGAAGGAGGAGGAAGCCCACGACCTCAGGAGGAGATAATGAGGAGGAAGGAGGAAGCAAGAGGAGGAAGGAGGAAGGAGGAGGAAGGAGGAGGAATGAGGAGGAGGAGGAGATATGAGGAGAAGAGATGGGTACCCACATAAACACCGTTCCACCCATGCAAACGCACATACATGTACCGATACATATTTGTAGATGCGTGTACGTACGTATACGCTTATAAGCAAAGCTCCATTCATGCATTGCTGGTTATATACATGTGTAGATGTAGGTGTGCATAAGTGGCTAGGTATGTAAGTATGCGTGTATGCATGTGTGTACGTACGCACGTACGTTGCATATGTGTATATGTACGTAGTTTATCGTTTGATGAGTGCATGCGTGTACGTATGTATGCAGGTATGTGTATGCATGTATGTTTGTATGTGTGTATGGATGTGTGCATGTGTATGGCTGTGTGCATGTATATATGCATACATGCCTGCATGCATGTACGTAAGTAAGTATATGTGCACGCATGCGTGCATGTATGTATGTGTGCATGTACGTAATTTACGGTACTGCACTGCACTGGAATGCTATGCAGTGCAACGCAACGTCGCGCAACACAGTCTTATCAAAAGCAACGCATTGGAATGCAATGCAGCATTGTAATGTCATGCAATGTAGTGTACAGTAACGTAGTGGCTTGTAATGTAGTGTGGTAGGATGGAATGTATGTGCTGTAGGAGTGCGTGGGTGTGTACGTATGTATGGACGCATGAATGTATGAATGTATATATGGGTGTATGGATCTGTGTACGTATGCATATATGTATGCATACATCCATGTAGGTATGTGTGTCGGTAAATGTGTTCCATGTACAGTTACATGCAGGTAGGCATGTCTGTATGTACGCATATATGTGTGTGAACACATGCATACATGTACGAATGTAGCTTGGGATGTATGTATGGATTTAGTTACTTATGTAGGTCTGTATGCCTGTCTGTCTGTCTGTCCGTCTGCATGTATGTGCACGCAAGATAGATAGCTCCGTATACACAGCACATACAGCTACTGTATCCCTGGACCCCTGCTTTCAACAACAACTCCTGGCGAGTACTTCCGCACAAGTTATTCAAAATCGTGCTCTCGCGCGGGCCTTCCCCACAGTGTACTCGGGAATCGCGCTCTTACGTGAGACTGCGTTGCAATTTGTTCAGACGCCCCACCCTCGACACTCAGGAGTCACGCTCTCGCTCTGGACTTCCTCACGATTCACGCGGGATTCGCGCGATGGCTAAAGATTTCCTCGAAAATTCATGCAGGACGGACGCTGCAGCGACCCGCCCCCTCCACCCGGCCGTCTGGGCCGGCACGCCCCACCTGCCCGTTTGGGTCCGCCCGCCCGACCCGCCCGTCTGGTTCTGCCGTTTGCTTTCCTGCTCGTAACCCCCATCCTGCTAATCTCACTCGAACTCCATCCTTCTTCCTCCCCCTTGTCCCGTCCCTCCCCCCTCCCGTCCCCTGTTTTAGGGGCTGCGCCGAGTACGCGTGGCAGGGAAGGAACAGATGCCCCAAGGGAGGTATGGTCGAAGACGGAGAGGGCGGGCACCGAGGGTTTGACACATACATGCTCAGTGGCACGCGAGCAGATAAGAGCGGACAATAATAAAACTGCTGTTGCTTATATTGCGTTGCCGTCGTCCTCGCCCGCGACCCAGCTCGCGACCCAGCCCGCGGCCCACCCCGCGACCCACACGCGGGCCACCCAGGACCCATCCTGGGCCCCCCACTCTTGTCCGCAGAACTGCGGTCGGGGATCAACTGACCTGGGTCAATCCAGTCCCGGGCCAGGTCCTGCAGGATCCTGCAGGATCCTGCAGGACCCCGCAGGATCCTTTGGAAACTGGGCGAGGGCTGGCAAATCCGTGGCTGCTAAAACGGTCCTCCTGGAAGAGAAGAAAAACAAAATCCCGGAATCAAGCTCAGCGCTCTAAATGGTAAACGGGCTGCTTCCCGGAAGAAAACAAAAAACAATTTCCCGGAGCTCCGTTCTAGCAGCCACCGGTTTGCCAGCCTTCGCCTGGCTTCCGAATCCTGCAGGATCCTGTGCCCAAGCCCGGGTCAATGCACCCCTGGCCCTGCAGGATCCTGCAGGATCCCCAGACCCCCGACGTCATGAATTGTTCATGACGTCGACCCCCAGCGGTCTGGACCCATTCCCCAGGACCGTTTTTTCGTCGGGGTAATTTTTTGACGCTCCCGAGGGCCAGTAAGGGCCCCCAAAGGCCAAAAATACATAATGTAAAACCTCCCGTCGCAATTTTTTCATAACTCGAGGGAATCTGGGTCTGGCGCTCGGACTGACCCCCGCTTGCCCTGGCCCCCGTCGCCCGAGCCCGATATATGTCGGGCGCTGCGCGGCCTCCCGGCCTCGAGCCTCGGGACTGCCCTCCCGGGGCCCAGGAGGGCCCCCCCGGCTCGGGGATGGCGGCGGTGCAGTGGCCGACCCCCTGGCGGCCGGAGAGAGGCAGGGGGGAGGGGGAGGGGGGGAGAGGAGGGCGAGGATGAGGAGGAGGAGGAGGAGGAGGAGGAGGAGGAGGAGGAGGAGGAGGGGGAGGAGGAGGAGGAGGAGGAGGAGGAGGAGGAGGAGGAGGAGGAGGAGGAGGAGGAGGAGGAGGAGGACGAGGAGGAGGAGGAGGGAGGAGGAGGAGGAGGAGGACGAGGAGGAGGAGGAGGAGGGAGAGAAGGAGGCAGAGGAGGGGGAGGATCTTCGGGGGGCGGCGATCGGCATCTGGATCCTGTGGACCCTGCTCGCGCCCCGACGCGACGGGGGGCCAGAGCGGGGAGGTGTGGCCAGATTCCTGGCCTCCGAGACCACGTCTTTCTGTTACGGTAGGTTCACGCGGCGTTGGCGCGCCGGCGACGCCGGCGACGGCGTTCGAGGTTGAATTCTGCGACGCGGAAGCACCGATGGACATGGTAGCGCCACCGGACCCGATTGAATTCATCCTTGAGCGATCAGGGCCGCGATCGATTGAAGGTTACGCAAACGATCGACGCGGTGCCAAAGACCGTTGCGCGCGCCGACGCCGACGAACCGAGTGCATCCCTGCCATGCCCTGCCCCACGTGGGGCCCAGAGCAGGTGGCAGCAGCACGGGTGTGGATCGAGCGTGGATCGTGGCAGGAAGGGGGGGGGGGCAGCGGGGCGCTCTCCTTGGAGGGAGTGATCCTCCAGGAAGCACCCCGCAGGGGGGTGGGGGAGAGGGGAGGGAGCCTTCTGGAGAGGCCGTGGGGTGGGGCAGAAAGCCCCCTTGGCCCTCGGAGAGGCCTCCTCCCAAACATGCGACGTCCTGATGATTCTCATCCAAACGGCAAGGGCACCAAGGAAGGAACCGTTGGATAAGGAATCCGGGATCTGAACCCCGGCCATGGATGTCACCCCGCCCTCACCAGATAAGGAATCCTCCAGGGTCTGAAGCCTCCTGGGCGCATTCCTTGACGCACGGCCCCACCGTGAGCAGTACTCGGAAGCCCCGACCCCTTCCCCTGGACCTGGTTTTCATCCTGAGTGCTGTTTCACAGTCCCGGTGCCTGGTGAGGGCCCCCCGAGGCCGAAATCAACGAAAAGCCTCCGTCCTAATTTCGCTCACGACGCGAGCATGTATGGGACCGGAGAGAGCTACTCTCACAGGTGAGGCCAGAATCGAATCGATAAGTCGGATCGGTGATCGAAATGAATCGGAACGGTGGAACTCGGCAGCCAAGCCAGGAGAAGTCGAATCGGCTGAAATCGGCCAGCGAATGAGACCTCCATAGAAACCGAGATCCGGATCGGAATCCAGCTAGTCGAACCGAGTCGGACAAGGAATCGATCGAAATCGAAGCGAATCGAGCTGGAGGAATCGAAACGCACCCCGTCTCAGAAGCCCCCCGTCAACCCCTCGCAGTGCCGCGCCCTCCCCGAACGCGCCGCTGGTGAGGGGCAACGACTTAGAGGGGGGCATGGCATACACCCCTGCTTCGATACAAGAGAATCTAGACTGAGAAATTGGACTTCACTCGAAGCGATTTCTCAACCAGTAGCCCAGATCCACGTGTACGAACCCTCTACGAAGAAAAGGAGCTCCAAGAGAACGCCCAGGGTCCAGTCCAGGTTCTTGACTTTCTCCAACGACACCTGGAGTCCATGTACCTTGGTGTTTTTTCTCCTTGAGACTTCTGCTGGGTGCAGAGGGGGACGCCTCGGCCTGGAGTCGGCGAGGTACCTCGCCGATCGCTCGGCGACAGGCCCCCCGACAGCAACTCCGCACGCTCCCGGGAGGGGGCGGGGCTCTCGGAACCCCCTCGGCGGGGAATGGGCGATTGGGGGCTCGACGCGTCCCCCCTCCTCCGGACCCTCGACGGCCTGAGCTTTCCGTGGCGCGGATCCCCCAGCGGTCTGGACCCCTTCCCCGGGGCCGGCTTGTCGTCCCGAGTCGTGCTCTGCACGGCCCCCGAGGGCCGGCGAGGGCCCCGAGGGGGCAACAAAAGAGTGCAAGCCTCGCCGTCGCGATGTCCTCACGACCCCAAGGGGGGTCTGGGCCTGCGCACCTGCCGTCGCTCGGACGTCCCTTTCCTGTGCGCTTGTTTTTTTTGGTTTCGCGCTTGGCTGTTGCGCCAAGTGATCAAGGATGCTCCTCGGTGGCCCTCGCCGGAGGACAAAAATGCACACGCCCGAGCAGTGCCAAGCGCATGCCTATCCCCCCTCGCGCTGCTCCCTGAGCTCACCACGCGGCGCGGCCCACCCCCACACTGCTCGGGGGCGCCCGCCCCGGCCTCTCTCTACCTGGAGCGCCGTGGCTTCTTGCCACAACGCCGACCCACCCCCTGGGAGGCCTCGACCCCTTCCCTTAGGTCGGGCCTGTCCCTCTACAGGAGGAATATTCAAAAATAGTCAAAAAATGGTCTGGAGACTATATGTTAAGTATTTTGGGGCATCTCTGGAATATTGTTTGACTATCTTTTATGTTTCGCCCAAAACCTCCCTGTAGGGGGACACGCCCGACTTAACCCTTTCCCGGGCCCGGCCTTTCATCCCGAGTCGCTTCCTGACGGACCCAGGGCCCAGGAAGGGCCCCCCGAGGCCGAGAACAGCGAAACACCTCCCGTCGCGATGGAGTCGCGACGGGAGGGTCTTCGCGGGTGCCGCGGTGGAGCCGCGAGTGGGACCCCCTCGAGTCACGAAGGAATCGGCGACTCCTTCATGCCTCGAGAGGGTCTGGGGCCTTCCATCCTGATGGGATGCACAGAGACACACTAACACGATGCGTCCTCCTCGGAGGCGCGCGTCCGACCCGAACATTGAGTATGCTCATCTTGTAATATATCGTGTCCCGAGCGGTGCGGCCAGAAAACGCCCGCCACAACGCATATGCCACAAGATTTCTCAGGGTGCGCGTCGCCCCTGGGGGGTCGACGCACACGTAGTGTGAGTATGTTGGGGCGGCGCCGACCCGAGTCGCTTCCCGACGGCCCCGGGGCCCGGGAAGGGACCCCCGAGGCCGAGAACAGCGAGAAGCCTCCCGTCGCGATGCTGGTGCCGACGGTGACAACGACGACGGCAAGGCCAGCGACGGCGCGGATGCTGATCACACCGACGACGATAACGGCGTCCTCGCATCCGGTTTCCTTCATGACTCGAGGGTGTCTGGGGCTCCATCTCGCCGTGCCCCTCTGAGCCAGGCTCCCTGAGTTAATAGGCCCTCCAGGCCCTCCCCCCCCCCCCCGCGCGGACAAAGCGCGCATGAAAAAGTCATGGCGCCGCGGCTCTGGGAAGGACCCCCGTGGATCCTGAGATCCGACGCTGCGGCAGCGCAAAAAACAAGACGGCAGCCCCAGACCCCACCGCCCTGCCTCCTCTTGAGAGGCCGGATCGACCCGCGAGGGCCCCAAAGGGCCCGAGGCAGGGCAAAAAGTCGTCAGCCGTGGAGCACAGGAGGCGCGCGGGGATCTTCGGGAAGGCCGCCCGCAAGAGAAAGCCACGACCCATAGAGGCCTCCCACGGAGGGGGCCCAGGCCCGTGGGGTCGGAGGATTGCACCGCATCACCGATGCATCGGCGATGCCTCGGCGTCGGCGTCGGCGTGGAGAAAGTCGGGCTCCACACTGCGCCGCGACGCCGATGCACCGGCGATGCGGCCGGATCCCCCAACCCCACCCACTCCGACCCCGCGCGGGAAGCCCAGCACGGGAGGAGGAGGAGGAGGAGGAGGAGGAGGAGGAGGAGGAGGAGGAGGAGGAGGAGGAGGAGGAGGAGGAAGAGGAGGAGGAGGAGGAGGAGGAGGAGGAGAAGGAAGAGGAGGAGGAGGAGAAGGAAGAGGAGGAGGAGGAGGAGGAGGAGGAGGAGAAGGAGGAGGAGGAGGAGGGAGGGGGCGCCGCGCCTGATCCACGGACCACCTCGGCACCGGCGCGTCCCGCCAGCTCGCCTCGCTGGGGTGGGGGGGGCGGGGGCGAAGCAGGCGCACGCACGCGCGCCGCGGCTCCCCCGCGACCTCCTTGGGCGCGAACTGACGAAGGGGCGATAAATGCGGGGGGGGGGGAGGGGGGAAAGGTGCCCTTTCAGATTCTAGGGGCCCTAGAGGGCCCCTTTTCAGCAGCCCTTGCGCCCCCCCCCCATTGATCGCCCCCCCCCTACGCGTAAATCGGGCATGTCCTCCTACAGGCGGATCCTGGAAGAAATTTGAAGAATACCCAGAAAAGATGCTCATACATAATCAAATGAATCAAAAATCGTCCCCAGACTATGTTTTACTTTGTTTGGATATTCCTCCTGTAGTGGGCCACGCCCGACTAAAATTTTAGGAGCCCTGAAGGGCCCCTCTTTCGGCAGCCCTCGCTGCCCCCCCCAGTGATCGCCCCCCCCTACTCGGGGGCGGCCAAGAGGGGGGCGTCCAAGAGGGGGGGCGCAAATCGTGGCCGGCGGCATGTGCGCGGCCCTGGGGGGGGGGGCCGGGACGCAGTGACATGAGAAGAGGCGCCATCAAATCTGAGGAACTACCACGGCCGACGTCAGGAGATCCAACCCCGCCTACTTAGTCATCACCCCCCTCTTTGCCGCGCCCCCCTCCCCTCCCCGCGCCACGCGCCCCCCAAAAAGCTGGCCCAGGGCGCGCCGCATGTTCCCCGCGAGGCCCCGATATCCACCCCCGCCTAATTAGTCATCACCCCCCCTCTGTGCCGCGCACCCCCCCCCCGCGCCACGCGCCCCCCAAGAAGCTCTCCCAGGGCGCGCCGCCTGTTCCCCCGGAGGGCCCCGAGGCGCGCCCTCGCCGCCGCGGCGGCGAGGGGGGGCCCACGCGGCGGGCCCCCCCCTCGAGGAGGCCCCGAGAGGTCCGCCTCCGCGGCCTCCAGGGGGCCCCGGCGGCGGGCCCCAGCGCGGGTCGGCCCGGCCGGCAGAGCGCCGCGGGAGGCGAGGGGGGGGGGGGAGAGCAAGCAGCCCGCGGTCGGAGTGACGGAGAGAGAGAGAGGGAGAGAGGGAGAGAGAGAGAGAGGGAGAGAGAGAGAGAGGGAGAGAGAGAGAGAGGGAGAGAGAGAGAGAGAGAGGGAGAGAGAGAGAGAGGAGGAGAGAGAGAGAGAGACGAAGAGAGTGGTGTGGATGACGAGAGAGCGAACGGACGATGGAAGGGAAGACCAGGAAAGGATAACAGGGCAAAGGAAAGAACAGGAGCCATTCGCTCAAAGAAGAAAGGCGGAGGAGCGCTTCACTCGATAAGACGATATGAAAACGACGAGGTCCGCCACAATCCCCCGGCCTACGGTCGGAACAAGCAGGCAGAAACATGAAGCAGACAGGCGCTGGAAGCAGATTGGGATGCCCCCCGCCCGCTGGAGAGGAGGGAAGAGGGAAGGCCGCCCGACTCTTGAAGCGGGAGGGTGCTTCAAGTAGATCGGAATCGGAGGATCCAGAAATACCAACTTTCGACGACCGATGGGTATCGTGTTGGGGAGAAGGGGTTGGGAGGATGAAGGGCATGAGCAATAGCATCTGGATGCAATCAACGATGCCTTCGGCGCCGCCTACGGGCAATGAGATCCTCATGTCTCTCAACCCTATCCTCCCGACCCGATCGTTGCCTTCCTGAGATGGGCTCCGGGACTGTGGTTTTGATTTTTGCCGTGTCTTTTTTCGTTTCGCAGTGTCGGGCCGCAGGGAGACGGGAGAAAGGGGGAAGGGCATCTGCGTGAGATCCCCCAGACGTATGGCGTCTCGGTTTGTTCGAGGCACGGGCCCCCGACCTCTCGACCGATTCCCCGGGACCGGCTTTTTATCCCAAGTCGTTTTGTTGACGGCCCCGAGGCCCAGCAGGGTCGCCGAGAAGCCGAAAGCTACGAAAAATCCCCGTCTCGATTTCTGTCGAGCCGCCCGGTGTCTGGGTCAGTAGATCTGCTTTCTCCTGAGAGCCCTCCAACCCGAGCCCACTCAGAACAGGGTCCCTGGGCCCCTCCTGGGGTGTCCATCTTGGCCGCCCTGGCAGCCTGGATGAATTACGGACCGCCCTGGGGCTCGCAAGGGGCCCCCAGGGGGTGAAAATTGCGGCACCGACCCCCGGAGTTGGCAGGCAGGCGGTCTGCCCAAGAAGCCTCTCTGAGGCCCACACAGTGCTCAAAAACATACAACAGCATCCGCCACCGTGCCTCTGGGCTCGGAGCGGGCGTGTCCTCGGGGCCTTTCCCTCACCCTCTGAGACTCGGACCTCAGTCCTCAATCCTGAGGAGTCTTTTAGGGGTCTGGACCCCAAATTCCAAAACGTATTGGTGCTTGACGCGTCATGTCGCTTGACGTTTTCGCAGCCAAGGGAGCCCCAGGACAGGCCAAGAGGACCCCAAGAGGCCCCAAAACGGTCCACGAGGGCCCCGAGTCCCCGAACGATCGCTCCAAGACGCTCAAGATGGCCCCAAGACAGCCCAAGAGGCCGCCAAGACGCCCCCAAGAGGCCTCCAAGAGGCCCCCCAAGAGGGCCCCAACAGGCGAACATCATTGATGTCCCTAAGGTTGGTCAAGGGTTTGGGCCTACTCGTCTTTTCGGCTCTCCGACGCTCCAAGACGGCCCAAGAGGCCCAGCAGACCTTCCCAAGACGGCCCAAGAGGCCTCTGAAAGAGGAGGAGGAGGAGGAGGAGGAGGAGGAGGAGGAAGAGGAGGAGGGAGGAGGGAGGAGGGAGGAGGGAGGAGGGAGCCCCAAGACGGCCCAACAGCGCCCCAAGACGACCCAAGATAGCTCAAGAGGCCTCTAAAGAGGGCCCCACAGCGGCCCCACAAAGGAGCCCAAGCGAGGGAACACGAACCGAAGATCCGAGCCTTCCGCCCCAAGAGGTCCCCAGGAGGCCCCAAGAGGCGCCCAGGAGGCCCCCAAGAGGCCCCCAAGAGGCCCCAAGAGGCCCCTCAGCGGTTCCCAAAGAGGCCCCAAGAGGCCCCGAAACGGCCCCCAGAAGGTCTCCAAGCTGTGCAGGAGGCCCACGAGAGGCCTCCCACGAGATCCCAACGAACATCCAATAGGATTCATACCCATAACCCAGACACGGTGGCGGGATGGGCCGAAGGCCATTCGATCCGCCGCCCTCTGTTGATTCATCAAAGGGGTGCCTGGCGTGCTGAACCCTTTCGGTTTGGATTTTGGTCCTTTCCCAAAAGAACTCCCCCTGAGGCTCCAGCGCGTCCCGCCGGGGTCCCGGGACGATCTTCAAGGAGCTCAATTCCCCAAAACATCCTCCAAGACGGTCCAAGATGGCCTCCAAGATGGTCCAAGATGGCCTCCAAGTCCGCCACAGATGGTCCAAGATGGCCTCCAAGACGGTCCAAGAGGGTCTAAGATACCTCCAAGTTCACCCGAGAAGTCTCCAAGACGGCCCAAGACCGCCAAAGAGGCCGCTTAGAGGTCCAAGAGGTCCTCCAGGAGGGCCCGAAGAGGCCAAAATCATTGATTGTTTGAAGGATTGGGGCATTTGCTTCTTCTCGGCATTCCGACGGCTCAAGACGGCCCAAGAGGCCGCCAAGATCGCCCCAAGATCGCCCAAGAGGCCTCCAAGAGGGCCCCATGACGGCCCAAGAGGCCCCCAAGACGGCCCCAAGAGGGCCCCAAGACGGGCCAAGAGGCCTCCAAGACGCCCAAGATGGCCTCCAAGACGGTCCCGAAGCGACCCAAGAGGGCCCCAAGCCGGTTCAGAGAGGCCCCAAAGACGGCTCCCGACGGCGTCAGACGGGCCAGGAACGCCCTAAGACGGCCAAAAAGGCCCCCGAGAAGTCCCAAAAAGGCCCCAAGAGGCCCTCAAGAGGCTCCAAGAGAGCCCAAGATAGCAACAACATGGCCTCCAAGACGGTCCCAAGATGGCCCGATCGAACCGAAGAGTGCCTCAAGAGGCTCCGAAAAGGCATCCTTCCCCTTCTCCTGTTTCCTCCTTCTCCTCCTCTTCCTCGTCCTCCCCCACGTGCTCCCCGAAGGCTTTCAAAACCGACTCGGGGAACATATGGTCCGATAGCTTCGCCCCCAAAGATGCCTCCAAGACGGCCCAAGATGCCTCCAAGACGGCCTAACATGGCGTCAATATTGCCCAAGACGGCCCAAGAGGCCCCCAAGAGGCCTCCAAGACAGCCCAAGAGGCCTCCAAGAGGTCCTCCAGAAGGGCCCGAAGAGACCAAATCATTAATTGTCCCTAAGTGGTTCAAGGATGTTGGCATTTGTAAGAGGCCTCTTCCTCTTCCTCTTCAAGTTCATTGTCCCCCACGTGTTCCCCGAAAGCTTTCCAAACCGACTCGGGGAACACATGGTCCGATAGCTTTGCAGGCCTCTGGCCACAACGTTCGGCCACATAGGCGCTTCCGAAAAGGCAGGGGGCGGCGGTGATTCGCCGTAGACGTGTTCGATAGAAATTCGACGTGTCTCATCCCCTTGGTTCCCAGACCCTTTCCCCAGGGCCAGTCTTTCATAGCAGGCCGTTTTTTGACGGCCCCTGGGGTCAGGTGAACGCCCCGGTAGGCCGAGAACACATGCAAAAAACGATTATCCCGGCAAAGCAACCTAACAGCGATGTGTAGGAGCATATCTGGAAGCATCCCCCTTAAGATTCAGATGAGAATCCAGTTGTAGAGTTCTGCTGTTCTCGCAGTCGTAGTCGCATTCGCGATGACAGTCGCAGTGGCCTGCATTAGCCTCAGCCTCAGCCTCAGCCTGCCTCAGCATCAGCCTCAGCCTCAGCTTCAGCCTGCCTCAGCCTCAGCCTCAGCCTGCTCCTGCATCAGCCTCAGTCTGCCTGCAGCCTCGGCCTCAGCCTCAGCCTGCCTCAGCCTGCTCAGCCTCAGCCTCAGCCTCAGCCTCAGCCTGCCTCAGCATCAGCCAGCCTCAGCCTCAGCCTCAGCCTCAGCCTCAGCCTTAGCCTCAGCCTCAGCCTGCTTCAGCCTCAGCCTCAGTCTGCCTTCAGCCTCGGCCTCAGCCTCAGCCTGCCTCAGCCTCAGCCTGCCTCAGCCTCAGCCTCAGCCTCAGCCTGCCTCAGCTCAGCCTGCCTCAGCCTCAGCCTCAGCCTGCCTCAGCCTCAGCCTCAGCCTGCTTCAGCCTCAGCCTCAGTCTGCCTTCAGCCTCGGCCTCAGCCTCAGCCTGCCTCAGCCTCAGCCTGCATCAGCCTCAGCCTCAGCCTCAGCCTGCCTCAGCATCAGCCTGCCTCAGCCTCAGCCTCAGCCTGCCTCTGCCTCAGCCTCAGCCTGCTTCAGCCTCAGCCTCAGTCTGCCTTCAGCCTCGGCCTCAGCCTCAGCCTGCCTCAGCCTCAGCCTGCATCAGCCTCAGCCTCAGCCTCAGCCTGCCTCAGCTCAGCCTGCCTCAGCCTCAGCCTCAGCCTCAGCCTCAGCCTCAGCCTGCTTCAGCCTCAGCCTCAGTCTGCCTTCAGCCTTCAGCCTCAGCCTCAGCCTCAGCCTGCCTCAGCTCAGCCTCAGCCTCAGCCTCAGCCTCAGCCTCAGCCTGCTTCAGCCTCAGCCTCAGTCTGCCTTCAGCCTCGGCCTCAGCCTCAGCCTGCCTCAGCCTCAGCCTGCTCAGCCTCAGCCTCAGCCTGCCTCAGCATCAGCCTGCCTCAGCCTCAGCCTCAGCCTGCCTCAGCCTCAGCCTCAGCCTGCTTCAGCCTCAGCCTCAGTCTGCCTTCAGCCTCGGCCTCAGCCTCAGCCTGCCTCAGCCTCAGCCTGCATCAGCCTCAGCCTCAGCCTCAGCCTGCCTCAGCATCAGCCTGCCTCAGCCTCAGCCTCAGCCTGCCTCAGCCTCAGCCTCAGCCTGCTTCAGCCTCAGCCTCAGTCTGCCTTCAGCCTCGGCCTCAGCCTCAGCCTGCCTCAGCCTCAGCCTGCATCAGCCTCAGCCTCAGCCTCAGCCTCAGCCTCAGCCTCAGCCTCAGCCTGCCTCAGCCTCAGCCTCAGCCTGCTTCAGCCTCAGCCTCAGTCTGCCTTCAGCCTCGGCCTCAGCCTCGGCCTGCCTCAGCCTCAGCCTGCATCAGCCTCAGCCTCAGCCTCAGCCTGCCTCAGCATCAGCCTGCCTCAGCCTCAGCCTCAGCCTGCCTCAGCCTCAGCCTCAGCCTGCTTCAGCCTCAGCCTCAATCTGCCTTCAGCCTCGGCCTCAGTCTCAGCCTGCCTCAGCCTCAGCCTGCAGCCTCAGCCTCAGCCTCAGCCTGCCCTCAGCCTGCCTCAGCCTCAGCCTCAGCCTGCCTCAGCCTCAGCCTCAGCCTGCTTCAGCCTCAGCCTCAGTCTGCCTTCAGCCTCGGCCTCAGCCTCAGCCTGCCTCAGCCTGCCTCAGCCTCAGCATCAGCCTGCCTCAGCATTCAAAATGTGGCCAGGGAATGGAATTCTGGGAACTCGAAGAACACGAAGTGGCCTACAGTTTGCTCCGGGCATTCAAAATCATACCCAGGAATGGAGTTCTGGGAAGTCAAGAGCACGAAGTGGCCTACAGTTGGCTCCGGGCATCCAAAATGTGGCCCGGGAATGGAGTTTCTGGGAACTCGAAGACCACGAAGTGGCCTACAGTTGGCTCCGGGCATCCAAAATGTGGCCCGGGAATGGAGTTCTGGGAACTCGAAGACCACGAAGTGGCCTACAGTTGGCTCCGGGCATCCAAAATGTGGCCCGGGAATGGAGTTCTGGGAACTCGAAGACCACGAAGTGGCCTACAGTTGGCTCCGGGCATTCAGAATGTGGCCCGGGAATGGAGTTCTGGGAGGTCGAAGAATGGAGTTCTGGGAGGTCGAAAAGCACGAAGTGTGTGACTGTTTGCGAAAAACGAGGTTCCCCGGCAATCCCCAACGGCCCCCCAACGGCCCCCCAACGGCCCCCTAACTCGTCCCCAACGGCTGCCCAGACCCCCCTGTGGAGTAATGTGCTGCTCTCTTTTTACACCACTAGAAACCTATCAGTCTTCGCTGTTAGGTAATATGCACGCTTTACTGCAATACCACGTTGGAAACGCAGGATCAATCAGCATCGAATCGGAAAGTCGGATCGAGTCGGTACATGCGTCGTATCGGGCAGCACCGGCACCGAGTCGGAATCGAGTCGAAACAGCCGCGACAAGGTCCACAATCAAACCAAGGCAAGCATCGGGCCGCACCAGATCGCCCCCGAACCGACAAGTCGAATCGGACCGAGCGGGGCGGGATCGGCATCGAACCGGACCGATCGAATCGAAATGAGTTTGTCAGATGGTCCAGGGCGGCCTCAGCCCTTCTAAAAGCCAACAGTGCCAACTGCGCCAGAGGCGACGACGGGGTGCTGAGGCCGACGGACTCCCTCCGAGGGTCGTCCGTGGGTTGCCCGAAGCCTTGCCAGGGTCGTTGTCCAGACCCAGATGATGGTGATGGTAATGGTAATGGTAATGGTGATGATGGTGGCGGGGATGTTGATGGTGATGGTAATTATGATGGTGACGATGATAACGGTGATGAGTGACGGTGATGGTGATGATGATAGTGACAATGGTGGTGAGGGGGATGGTGATGACGATGACGACGGAGACGATAATAGTGAGAGTGATGACGGTAATGACAGTGGTGATGGCAATGGTGATGGTAATGGTGATGAGAATGGCGAAGGTGACCGTGACGATGACATTGGAGATAATGGTGAAGGTGGTGGTGCTGATGGTGAAGGTGATGGTGGTGGTGATGCGATGATGGTGGTGGTGCTGGCAACGTTGCTGATGCTAGTGGTTGTGTTCTTCTGGGAAGGGCGGCGGCGCCGCATCGACGAGCAGTGGGGGGCCGCATACGGTTGGCCAAGCCCGCCTTGAACGCGAAGATCAAATAATACATGTTCAGACACCGACCAATGCAAATATGACATGTTTGGGAAACAAATTTGACGATCCCAACGGCTCACGTCGGCGAACATGTTTGAAGTAGGCAAGAGACGATCACCAATGCAACGCTGCGGGCGTGTTTGAAATATACGAAGCCCCCCACCAATGCTGGAAGGCGAACTTGTTTGAAACGTGCAAAACGTACATGGCACTCATCAAAGCAAGACGGAGAACACGTTTGAAATATAACGGAAGCCCCCACCAATGCTGCCCGTGGGCACGCTTGAAGTAGACCAAGGCTGTCACCAAAGCACGACGGCGAACATGCTTGAAAACTATAGCAGGGGCGCTTCTCAAAGATGAGTCCGCGGACAATGGTCTGCCCACCTCGACGAGTTCACGAGCGAACGTCGCGTCCAAAGTGGCCGCCTCCCCAGATGGATCATCGCCAGGTGTAGTGGGTCCTGGGACGTAGACGCCACTCTGCCAGTCCCCCAAATGCGCATACCCTCTAAAACGACCGCGAACCTTCCCATGTTGATACCAAGAGGCCACAAGGCCGGCAACATAGTCCAGAAAGCGAAATAGCTTCGCCGTCATCGCCCTCGCACCACAAACTCGTGTCCCTGAAGATGGCCTCGCGCACCACCCGAGGCGGCATGAGATCAAGAGAACCATCGTCCTCATACGAGTACATCGAGGCATCCACACTTTCACTTGATCGTCTGCAACGGCAAAGGTCTCCATATCGCCATACTCATGCAATCTCACTGTGAGAGTCGTCCGCAGAAGTTTGCCCCGCATCGCCACTAGGACGTACAGCCTGCCGCACTGCATGTTCGGTCTCTCCCAGCTGTCTCACCAGAACACATGCGCCTTCTTCATCGCAACACCCACTACATCATTCCATCCACGATAACACTTTGTACGCCAGCCGCGGGGCAACCACCAGGAGAACCGCAGCGCCATGTAGAGCAAACGGAGGGCAAGAGAAAACAGGTGCACCGACATTGCAGGGGAACTGAGGTACTTGTCGAAACTGCGCACGAAGTCGTGCACTTTTCGGTGGGCCCCAGGAACCCCATGGATCGCCACCATCTCCGCGCCAAGAGCCAGCACCACAAGGAACATTCCGTAACCAAGATCATGACGCCGACGCTGCGGACATCCGTTTGCCACCACCAGGAAAATGAACCTGGGGAGTCAGCAGGGCCATCATCTCCACCATCATCACGGTGGCCTGAAGACTAAACCAACGCGGAAGCAGAAAGCCGCAATGCAATCTCCAGGCGCCCATCTGAATGTCGTCGAATGTCGAGGCCCGTGGTCCTCGGCCACGTGTGTCTGCAGGAGCCCCTCGACGCGGGTGAGGATGCGCAGCAACACGTCTCCTTTAACGGCGCCGCTGGCAAAGCCCGAATGGTCAAGGATGAGATTGAGCTAGGACCGCCCCTGCATCGAAGCCGAGTCGAAGGTGATGCGGATGCAGGCGCCTTGGAATGCGTGCCGCCGAGCCCACTGGAGCCTCGCTGCCACCACCGTCGCCGCAGAGGGGAAAAGGGAGCAGCTGCTTGCAGGAAGCTGCGGGGGCAGGCAAATGCCTGGGCCAAGAGCGACGATGATGGCGACGACGACGACGATGGCGACGATGATGACTATTGCTGACGATGGCGATGGTGATGGCGATGGTGATCGCGAAGGTGATGGTGATGGTAGTGATCGTGACGATGATGCTGATGATGGTGATGCTGACGCTAAAACTATGATGTGGTTTTCGTGATGCCGATGGTGATCGCAAAAGGTGACGGCAATGACGAGGCTGACTATGTTGATGATGTTGATGGTGTGGATGATGACGACGATGCTGTTGATGATGACGCCGGCGACGACGATGGTGGTGATGCGGCGATGGCGGCGATGATGATGACGATGACGATGACGACGGTGGTGATGGTGAGGGCGGCGATGTGATGGTGAGGATGCTGATGACGACAAGTGGTGAGCCCCCCGGCCACGGGCGACGGTGCTCCCTGGCCAGGAGAGAGCCCGCAGCGCGGCCGAGCGCCTGGCCAGCAGACGCCGACGACGCCGAGAGCCCGGGCCCCCCTCCGCCCCCGCAGGCCTCGCAGACGGAGGCGCGCGCCACCCGCGGCGAGGGCCCGCGCACGGAGGCGCCGCCCGGGGGCGCGGCGGGCGCCTGCGGGCCCCGCGGCGCGGCCTCGCCGTGGGCGCGCTCGCCGCGCGGCGCGTGCAGCGCGTGGCGCGGCGGGCCGCCCCGGCGCCCCGCGGGCGGCTGGGGCGCCTGCGCCGGCCGTCGCCAGGCGACGACGACGACGGCGGCGGCGACGACGACGACGGCCACGGCGACGGCGACGACGACGACGACGACGACGACGACGACGACGACGACGACGACGGCGACGGCGGCGACGACGATGGCGGCGGCGACGACGACGAACGGCGGCGGCGGCCCCGACGACGACGATGGCGAAGACGACGACGATGGCGGCGGCGACGACGACGAACGGCGGCGGCGGCCCGCGGCGGCGGCAGCGGTGGCGCATGACCCACGAGGGATCCCATACCAATGCACCCGTGTTCGGGGGACTGGCTGATGGACAGCGGCGCTCCCTTCGAGACCATGCCTCTCGCCAAACCGAGTGGAACTATGGCTCACAATCGCCCCAGGATCATCACAGAGCGGTCATTCTCGAAATATGCCGCAAAGAGATGGGGACCAGGGATCCAGAACCAAAAAAAAATGAGATGACGCAAATTTTCCGCAACGTCGGATCTCAGAGGACGGCGTCGGTTGCGGCGGCGCCGCCGCCGACGGCGGCGGCTCAGGCGGCGCCAACTGCGGCAGCAGCGGCGGCGGTGACGACGGCGGCGGCTTCGGCTGCGACGGCGACGGCGGCGGCGGCAGCGGAGGCGGTGACGGCGGGGCGGCGGAGTTGGCCACGGCGGCGGCGGCAACCGACGGCGCCAGTCATGGGCAGCGGCGCCGGTCATGGGCAGTGGCGCGGGGGAGGTCCTGGAACTTCGATCCTGGAGGTCGTCTTGCCCGCGCCTCTCGCAGCGACGACATCGCTCAGAACGCTCTCGGCGAGGCGCAGCCGCAGGGAAGCGGGCCTGGACCCAAGGGCTGTCCTGGCCCCCAGACACTCCTTTCTCCCGAGTCGCTTTGCTCACGGCACCAGGGCCCCGAGGGCCCGAAAACGGTGAGCAACAACCTCAGAAGCCCGTTCGCTCAGGACCCGCTGGCTGCAGGGCGAAGAAGAAAAGACATAACACATACACGTCGGTCGGAAGAGGTAGGTAGAAACATGAAGTAGGAAGGCGGATATAGTAGATTGAGTCCAGGTCCTCCCAGAGAATAACAAGACACAGCAAAAGCATGTCGATTCTTGAAGTAGGAAGGCGCCTGAAGTAGATTGGGACCTGGGAATCCAAAAATACCTACTTTCAACGACCGGCATGTAAGTATCCCACGGTCTGGGCGGAGTTCCTGGATCGGCGCTGGACCACCTGTCCTGGAGCGGGCCAGGGGCAGCGCCCTGGACTCAGCCGAGGGGGGGGGGGCCCAGCGCAGATCCAAGAGCTCCGCGCGAACCTCCGCAGGTTGATGTCTCTGCAGTCTGTCCTGCGAGCATGGCGAAGGATCCCTGCGGAGGCGCCTCCCGCCCCGCCCCTGGTGCGCCCCGCGCGCCAGAGGAGGGGGGGGCCCAGCGCCAGCCCAAGAGATCCGCGCGGACCTCCGAGGCGCCAGCCCAAAAGACTCGCGCGGACCTCCCAAAACTTCAGATCAGTCTTGGGTCGGGCATGCCCTCCTGCAGGCGGATCTTGGAAGAAAAGCAAAAGATAGTCAGAACAGAATCTACAGTGTCAGAGCAGCGCGAAAAATCATCCCCGGACGAGTTGTGGTGGCTATGTTTGAAGATTCCTCCTGTAGAGGGACATGCCCGACTTAACGCCAGCCCAAAAGATCCGCGCGGACCTCCCAAAACTTCAGATCAGTCTATGCTTGTGGATGCCACGACAACGGACACCCTAACAGTCCGACCATCGAATGTAAAATACGTTAAAACGTGTAAAGCATGGTCTAAAAGTGTTTCAAACATGTGTTCAACATACTTAAAGCATGTTTGAAGCATCTTTCAGACATCTGGAAATTATTTGGCAGCATCCTTCCTCTCCATTGATCGTCCTCCACAAGTCTATGCCGACGACGCTCCCTCGACCGCCGCCCGGAGCGCCCGCTGGCGCGCCTCCTGAGGCGGCGACGGCTGCCGCGGCGACGACGACGTCCAGCCGCCGCCGCCGCCGCAGATACGACGACGACGACGACGACGACGACGACGACGACGACGACGACGACGACGACGACGACGACGACGACGACGACGACGACGACGACGACGACGACGACGACTACGGCGGCGGCGGCGGCGGCGGCGGCTGCCGCAGCGGCGGCCCACAACCGACGACGCGTGCTTGGTTTTCAACCCGCGGCCCCACACAAGGAGGCCCCGACCCATTTTTGTTCCGCAGAGGGGGGCAGCCTGTCGCCCCGGGCCTCTCTCTCTCTCTCTGATGGCCCCCCGTGGGCCGAGCTCGAGGAAAAAAACCCACACTGAAAAAAGTCACCTCGCTGGAGATCCGGGACGTCGTCGACGACGACTCCTATCGGAGAGGGACAGAGCCCCCTTCAGTAAAACGTGGCTTCGTGAAAACGGCCTCGGGCCCAAACCTGGCGGGCGCAAGCCTGGAAGGTGACGACCGCGGCGCCCGCTCGAGAACCGAAAACCGAAAAACCCAGGGCTGGACCTAACGCTGTTTATCGTGTTGGTTTCATTTTGTGTTTCGTGCTGCTCGACCTGTTTTTTCTGTACCCTGTACCTCCCTGCCAGAACAAAAAAACAAAACACAGCCGAAGTCCAGCAAAACAGCGTTTAGGCCCAGCACAGGAAAAAACACCCACACTGAAAAAGTCACCTCGCCGGAGATCCGGGACGTCGTCGACGACGATCCCTACCAGTAGGTCGGACATGTGCCCCTACAGGCGGATTTTGGGCGAAGAATTTCCATAGGCGCAAAAAAAACAAAAATAACGAAAAAAGGTCGAAAAATCGTTCACCGATTATTGTCGCACTATTTTTGCATACTCATCCTGTAGAGGGACAGGCCCGACTCAACCCTAAGATCCAGCGCGGCGAAGAAATGACAGCACCACGAAAAATCGAGACTGGGGCCCTGTAGACCCCACCTCTCTGCCGCACTTTCCGGGTCGGATCGATCTGTGAGGGTCCCGGGGCCCGGAGCCACGCGGAAACGCCGGGCTCGAAGGCACCGCAACGCGCGACACCCTCCGGCTCGGCCCTCCGACGGCCGTTCGGGACGATCCGGGCCCCCCGGGGACGCGCTCGGCGAGGCGCAGCTTCTTGAAAGCATCCCGAGGCAAGAAAACCGCCGAGAACCGACGAGGACCACCGAAAATCTCGAACCTCGACCATCCCCCCCCGGCCCCCCCCCCCCCCCGAGCGAGGAGGCCTTGAGCAAGTCAGATTCGACCTGGAGGCCCTTTATCCCATCCTCAGGGCCCCAGCCCTTCTGGCCCCCCCCCCTCGCGCCCCCGACGTTGGCCGCGAGCCGAAAAAGGCCACTCTCACAGCGCAGCCGACGCACGGAAGGCGGGACGACGGGCCCGCCCGACATACCTGATCTCCTCCTCCTCCGCCCGCCCTGACATACCTGATCTCCTCCTCCTCCGCCTCCTCCTCCCCCTCCTCCTCCTCCTCCGCGTCCTCCTCCTCCTCCTCCTCCTCCTCCTCCCCTCCTCCTCCTCCTCCCTCTCCTCCTCCGCGTTCCTCTCCTCCGCGTCTCCTCCTCCCTCCTTCCTCCTCCTCCTCCTCTCCTCCTCGTTCCTCCTCCTCCTCCTCCTCCCTCCTCCTCCTCCCTCCTCCTCCTCCCTCCTCTCCTCCTCCTCCTCCTCCTCCTCCTCCTCCTCCTCCTCCTCCTCCTCCTCCCTCCTCCCTTCTCCTCCTCCTCCTCCTCCTCCTCCTCCTCCTCCTCCTCCACCTCCTCCTCCTCCTCCCTCCTCGGGAACCGAGCTTCTCGATCGGGAACCGACGGCGGAGACGCGCGCGCCTCCCGCAGCGGCGACATCGTCAGCCGCTCCGGCGGCGGCAGCGGCGCGAGCTCGCCGCGCGCCGCCGGGAGGGACGGCGCCCGCTCGAGGCGCGCCGAGAGGGGCGCGCGCACCTCCGCCTTGCGGCCACGGGCGCCGACGCTTCGACGACGACCCGCCACGACCGAGACGTTCTCGGCGACGGCGGCGACGGCGGCGACGACGACGACGACGCCGACGACGCCGACGACGACGACGACGACGCCGACGACGCCGACGACGACGACATATTCGGCGACGACCGCGGCGACGACGGCCATGACGTTGACGATGGCCGCCACGTCGACGACGACAATGACCACAACCGCCACGACATCGGTCAGGTCGTCGTCGGCGAATTCCCGAGGCTTCTCGGAGATTCTTGCGGGTTCTCGGGACCTCCCCCAGAAGCTCCCCCGGAAGCTCCCCCCGGAAGCTCCCCCACACTCTACCGGAAGCTCCCCAAGGCTCCTGGAGGATCCGCGAACCGCAAGGCTCCCGCAGGCTCCAGGAGGTGGTCGTCGTCTACTTCGTCGTCATCGTCATCGTCATTGTCGTCGTAGTTGCTGTTCTCGTTCCTGTGCTGTTGTTGTCGCCATGCTCGTCGTCGTCCTCGTCGTCGTCGTAGTCCTCGTCGCCGTCGCCGCCGACGCTACCGCAGCCGCGGTCGCCGCCGCCGCCGCCGTCGACGTCGTCGTCGTCGTCGTCGCCGCCGCCGCCTCCGCCGCCGCCGCCGTCATTGTCGTTGTTGTTGTCGTCGTCGTCGACAGTCGTGGTCGTGGACGTCGTCGTCGTCGACGTCGTCGTCGTCGTCCGTCGTCGTCGTCGGTGTCGTCGTCGCGCCATCGTCGCTGTCGTCGCCGTCGTCGTTGCTGTCGTCCTCGTTGGCGTCGTCGTCGGCGCCGTCGTCCTCGTCGTCATCGTGGTCGTCGTCGTGGTCGTCGTCGTCGTGGTCGTCGTCCACGTCTTACTTCTCGTTGACATCTGTCGCCGTCGCCTGTCGCCGCCGCCGCCGTTGCCGCCCCTGCGGCCGCCGCCGTCTTCATCGTCGTCGTCGTCGTCGCCGTCGTCGTCGTCGACGTGATCGCCGTCGTGGCCGTCGTCCTCGTCGTAGTCGTCGTCGTCGTCGTCGTCGTCGTCGCCGTCGCCTGTCGCCATCGCGGTCGTCGCTGCCGCTGCCGCCGCCGCCGTCGTCGTCGACGTCGCCGCCGCCGTCGCCATCGTCGTCTTCGCCGTCGTCGTCGTCGTCGTAGTCCTTGTCGTGCTCCTCGTCGTCTTCGTCTGTCGTCGCCGCCGTCGCCGCCGACGTCGTCGCCGCCTTCGTCGTTTTCGTCCTCGTCGTCCTCTTCGTCAACGTCACCTCCGTCAACGTCGCCCCCGCCGGCGCCGTCGTACTCGCCGTCGTCCTCGTCGTCGTAGTCAGCGCCGCCGCCGTCGCCTGTCGCCACCGCCGCTGCCGCCGCCGCCGTCGTCATCGTCCTTTCCGTCCTTTGCGTCGTCGTCACCGCCGCCAACGTCGCCGCCGCCGCCGCCGTCATAGACGCCGTCGTCATCGTTATCGTAGTGCACACCGACGTCGTTGCCATC